ACCATGTAACGTACACCCCTTCATGGCAATGATGTTCCGTGATGGCAGTGGCCTCTTTCAGCAGGATAATGCACACTGCAAAAATTGTTCAGGAATGGTTTGAGGAACATGACAAAGAGTTCAAGGTGTTGCCTTGGCCTCTAAATTCCCGAGATCTTTAAAAAAACTAATTCGATTCATGGATGCCCAACCTCGCAACATCAAAAAATCCGATTCATGGATGCCCCACCTCACAACTTACAGAAAAGGATCAGCTGCTAATGTCTTTGTGCCAGATACCAAAGGACACGTTCAGAGGTCTTGTGAAGTCCGTGCCTCGACGCATCAGAGCTGCTGTGGCAGCAGTAGGAGGATCTACATGATATTAGGCAGGTAGCTGATCAGTGTAAACTTAGATTTTAAGTGGAGAAAACGTCCCTTTAATATAAATCAAGAAGAATACTGATTGTCATTGTTTATAAACTAAAGAAAATCTGTTGCATACTAAACACATTATTCAAAATATAAAAATATAACCTGTTGTGTTAAATTAGAAGATTTGTATCCTTGTATTTTTGAGTGTTTTTTGTTTTTTTTTAGATATGAGTGGTTCTTTATATATTATGTTTGTCTAAAATAAAATTAGATTTAGAGAGAGGTTTGGATACCCTTCTCTGTAGAACTTTAGAACATGCTATTCATTTTCTATCCACAGATAAAATATGTATTTGTTGGGTGTTTTAAAAACACGTAACTTTACGACAAACCCCAATAAATGTATCTCCAGCAACCAGTATACTTTCCCTTGTCTCTCATACTCTGCATGTTTAAATCTACAGTCTCTGAATATAATGATTCCCCATCCCAGATTTATTAAACAGCTGCTTGTGGTGAACTCAAAAAGCAAAACATCTGGCCGTTTGTTTTACACAACATATAGTTACTCTCTTTATTTGTATTTCTACATTCCTGTATTCATCTTTATTTCTCCTCTCCCATTCTCTATACAGGTGATACTCGAAAAATTTGAATATTGCGCAAAAGTTCATTTATTTCGGTAATGCAACGTAAAAGGGGAAACTAATATATGAGATAGACGCATTACATGCAAAGTAAAAACAAAGAGAACGTTACCTGCGCTTGGCTGATATCAGCACATCTAATGGCTAGTGTAGGAACTCACCTATTGAGGCTTGCCTTGACGTGGCAGGTGAGCTTATATATTCAAATGGCCATTGGAATAAAACTAAAGAGCCTCCATTTTGTTTAAATGGACATGGGGATTTAGGCCAGAGCGCAGGTAACAGTCTCTTTGTTTTTACTATGTATTTTAAGCTGTTGGATACTAAGTCACTGCTGCTGTAAGCGCGGTGCTTTATCTTTGTGCTTGGATTACATGCAAAGCAAGATAGTTCGAGTATCACCTGTATGTTTTGCATTAAAAAATACTTCACATTGCAAATGCACATTTTTTTTCTCAGTAAAATGCCTCATTAGTCATTTTGTGAAGGTAATAAATGGTAAAATCATCAGGAAAGAAAACAGAGGGGGGGGGGGAGGAAATCAGAGACAAATAAAAACTGTCTGAAATATGGAATATTTTGGAGTACTACAGAAAAGCTCTATCAGGAACAAGGGAGAAGAAGAAAAGCATAATTAAATAATAGGTGGGTGTCCTGAAACAGGACGACACACCCGTAACCGGGTATAGACAACCTTCACAAAATGTTATGGACTACATCTCCCCTGATGCTTTGGTCACATTAGAACTGTCAGAGCATCATGGGACATGTAGTTCACAACATCTGGAGTGCTGAATGTTTCCTACCCCTGCTCTGTGCATTGATGAGATCTTCCTGGAAACAGATTCACTATTACATATAAAATAACTTCTACTACCCATTGTACAGTGCTATGGAATCTGATGGCGCCACATAAATAATAAAATAATAATAATAATAATACTGCAGAACCAAATACAAATGATGCAATAATGGGACTTATAAATACCGTAGAATGTTACAAAGTGACACACGTTTGATAGAAATTTTGTACAGCTGAGATTTAAATATACCGTATTTATTCGGATCTAGTGCATCATCTAATCTAATGCGCACCTCAATTTTTGATACCTGGAAGCTGAAAAATGAAGATTCTACTATACAACATTGTGCTACAATGAAAATGTTTATTGCCATATATCATAGTAACATTGATGGTACTTCAATTTTAGTGTTACATGCCAAGTCTATTCTTTCTTAAGCCCTGCCCTCATTCAGGAATGAAATTTGCATGTGTGAATTTGCCAGAATGAATTTCACCTGTTTAAATTCGCCTGTTTTAATTGGCCTGTGGCAAACCCACCCATTTAAGGGAGTTTGCCATGAGTTTTTGGAGGGGCCTGCTTGCCTGCCTCCTGCCTTGTGACTATGGCCCCTGTGTTAAAATCTGGTTCAGTATTGGAGAGAGACTGTTGTTTGTCTGTTTTCCCTGCACTGCTTCATTGAATAGAGCTGTTCGAATGGATTATGCTAATAGTGTTCGTTTTACCGAACAAACTGTTAAACGACCAACCACTCTGCCTGTGGAGTGTGCGGCTTGTTAACCACCCAGAAGCTGTGGTTAACCGCAGCTTAATTGGCGGACCGCTGGGTGGTCGGCGTTCGTATGAACGAACACGTGGCAGCGGCCATTTTTTTAGCCGAATGCGCTCAGCGGTGTTTGGTAGTCGAAATCCTGGAACTGTTTTCGGCTACTAGTTTCACAAACACCGCTGAGACTTCTACCTTCCATGCATTCGGCTAAAACCATACGAACGGAGCGCTATTTTAAGGGAATGAACTGTCGAACGAGATCATTACAATGAAAATATGCACAAACACATCCATTCGTGCAATCTGTACTTTATACGAATGTGACGATAGACCGAACGCACAGCCTAAATCTATGGAACCCTTTTGGGCATGAAAGCCATGCTTGCGGTCGGTCAAATATGACTTCCAGCTATCTCCCGAAAGGCTGAACGGATTCAAATGATTTTTGGATATGTTTGTCCCCTATATGTGCTGATTCTGAAGTTGTAATGTAAATGTAAGTTTTATATGAATGTGTTGTATAATTGTGGAGTTATAGAAATTGGGTAAACATTTGTGTTTAAACTGTACAGTTAATTATGTTATCTCCCAAGCAGAGGGGAGGGAATATGTGGGTCGTAACCATTGTTTGATTGGCTAATGTATAATTGTCTGTGGGTGTCTCCCTTGCATGGGAGAACTGCATAAAAAGAGAGTACCTGCCATTAAACCTCAGTTCTACTTCACCCTCAGTTTAGAGTCCTGTCTCTTATTGGGGGAATCTGCTACAAGGGATTGCTATGCTCGTCATACTCTCTTGCTATAGACACTAAGCTCTTATAAGAGCTTGTTCCTGTTTTGCTACCTGAAGGAGTCTATGGTGATTATGGTGTCTGCTGGATTGCTTGGTAAGCACTAGGAACATCCATCAACGGAGGTACCCATGTCGGGGTGCCCGTTGATCCGTTACAGGCCTGTCTGAATTTGTCTGTTTGAATTCAAGTCACTAGTTTTAATTCACTGGTTTTAATTTGCCTGCGTGAATTCACCATTTTATATATAATACTATGAAATATTAAAGGGACACTATAGTCACCAGAACAACTGGTGAATTCACCATTTTATATATAATACTATGAAATATTAAAGGGACACTATAGTCACCAGAACAACTTCAGGTTAATGGAATTGTTCTGGTGAGTAAAAGGCAGTGTTTACATTGCCCCCTAGAGACACCTCCAGTGGCCACTCCTCAGATGGCCACTGGAGGTTCCTCCTTTTGCAGTGCTGCAGTTTGGTTCCACCCCATCCCTCCTCCTTGCCTCTTTCAGCCAATCCAATGCTTTCCCTAGAACATTGGATTGACTAAAAATCGTTAATTCTGATTATGACACCAAGGATACAGATCGGGGTGGGTAGGTTTTTTTATCTACCTTTTAAGGAGGTTAAGGGGTGGACAAACCACCTAAATGGTGGTTTTAACACTATAGGGTCAGAAAAATAGATTTGTTTTCCTAACCCTATCGTGTTCCTTTAACATATTAAACAAGTGTACATAATGAAGTATGCGCATATCACAAATCCTCCCCTGTATGGGTGCCAGATCGGGAACTCCTCTTAGTATTCCGTTCACTCGAGCAGGTATCAGGAAGACGATTGGTAGGTAGTATAACAAAGATTTTATCGGTATAAAACAATAAATAAAATATAATAAAAATAAATGATTCATTTTTTATTATATTTTATTTATTGTTTTATACCAATTAAAACTTTGTTACAAAAGAAAAATGTAATCCTATTCATTTTAAAGATGTTCAATAATGTGTGCGAAAACATGGAAATTATTTAGTTTATTATTGTTCCAGGAAGTGTGCATTCATTTAGTCTCATCTGGTTATTCATGATAGCGGACATTATTTGAACTACTTTATACCGACTGGCTGAAAGCACCATGCAGCCAATTACAATCCAGCTTTAATGTTAAAATAGTCAAATTATCTTTAGCTCCCCGTGTACCCACAGTGCTGTAAAATGTTGATATTCAGCACCAGTAAGATGCAAATAAACATCACATAATCTTTATTTTATTATTTATTTTAAAATCACATAATCTTAATATTTTATGTGAGCATGTATCAGTATGCGGTTTCCTTAAAAAAATTATTTATATTAAACAATTACCAATTTTTTAATTACCACTTCTTACATCCTAGTAGTTGATGATAAGCATAAATGAACACAAGCTGTGAACAGCCAAACTGCACATTCTTACAATGCATGTGTTACAGGGTAAAAACCTAAAACACCAAGTGAAAATTATATAAACATGTACATTGTTATAATGCACATTCTTTTAATGCACGTGTTACAAGATAAAAACCTAAAAACACCAACTTAAAAATATATACACATGCAAAAAGTGTCATTATTTTGAAATATAAACTACATCGTTAATATAAAAAATTAATTCAGACAACATATAAGGTGATAAATGTTTATTTTTTTTTAATAAAGGCATATCTCTGCTTATCCTTAAACATATTTAAAAATTCCTGATTTGAGTAAAACATTTTGCATCTCTTCCTTCGTTAATACACATTAGCGTTAAAACCCCCCAGTCCCCAATATATCTCACTGGCACGTTTTATCAGAAATGTTATACGTCGTTTTGGCAACATGTAGACTATACATTCTTCTGGCTTCTGTATCACAACTGGATCCATAATAGGAGAAATATATTTAAAGTCTTACAGCTGCAAATGTGGACTTGAGAACTACATCAAATCTTGACAAAAACAACAGGCGATATACGAGCTTCACTTTTTTTTTTTTTTTTAATCTAGAAAACACTTATTCCTGCACTGGTTCTGCAGCCAAAAGATTTTTTGATATATAACACAGTGCAGAATAAAAAGGTACACAATCTATATTGGCAGTAAAATAAAAACAGAATTAAAAACCACTACCAAGAATCATTTACTTACTTTAACATGGCTGTCTGTCACCCTCAATGCCAACCAACTTTGAGCTTGTAGAAGAGACTCTATCACCCAGAATTCTACTGCTAAGACAGCTGGAAGACCAATCTTAGACAACCATTGTTTAAAACAAGTCAAAGTTTAATCTCTACACATTTTACTATCTAAACAGGTTAACAAAATGTACCGATAAACAGTTCTATGCAACTTGTACTAAGATTAGAATGCTTCCCTTTATGTGTAAAACTGTGCGTTCCAGATATTGCAAATCAATGCTACAATACAATCATTTGTGTAGGATTTTGATTCAAGTATTTACTTTGCCTTTTCTAATTCGCTCAGTCTTCACTCTTGACCCAGTTTCTGTTTGTAGTGAATTTAACAGTGTAAGAAAGATTCACTTTTTGCATTGAAAATGTCCTCATACATACAATCATTAACAAGCATCATTGTTTCACAAACTAATATCATCGTGACTCTGTAATGGCACTTTTTAAACACTTCCAAACAGTCTTCATTAAGTGAACACTACATATTTGTTACACGGACACACACACACACACACACACATATATATATTTAAATGTCTAGAAATACAGTACATAAAGAATTTGAGCACAGCTTATTCATTGTAAAAGACAATTATGGCAAATAGGGTTGTTTTCAAGTTTCGTCACTGTAGCTGCTAAAAGTTTGCTACAAGGCTCGGAGCCAAAGTACAAAAAAAAAAAAAAAGAAGATAACAGCTAGTTTGGACGGAGCTGGTTATGTAGAATGACAAGTTCCTCTGTTTAACTTTGGTTCCATTTGGTTCACCTTGTGCTCCGTCACATTTTAGGATTTGGTTTCTTCCATCACTTCCATAACAATAGTTCGTGGACCGTTTAGGATGCTGCTGCTCACTTTTCTGAAGTGTTCATGGAGAACATTAACCCCATTCACAGATACCACGAACTGGCGTAACTGAAATATAAAAAAAAAAAGGCTTAATAAGGGGTGCTGAATATAGCAAAATAGCATCACGCATTATATTGTAACTTGCTTTCTGAAAATAAGAGAACTTTTTAAGGGTGATTTACTAAAGTGAGGATTCAAATTGAATTCAAAGCGAATTTCAAAATGTAACGTTAAAATAACTGAATCAGATAAATTATCTTAGACGGTTATCTGAGCTATGTTTCCATCTTTAGCATTAAATTTGAAATTCATTTTAAATTTACTTTGAATTCTCACTTCAGTGACTATCTCTGTTTGTAAAACCAGAAATCTATCTTTTCATTTTCCTGTATTGGTTTACAAGAGACCTGTTGGTAGCCTATCTATGCTCAAGATTCGTTTTACACCACTCCACCACTACACAGAATGCCTTTTCTGTCGCTTTTGTAAGAGTTCAGTAAAAACCATTCATTTTTAGGCAAAGCTGTGAAAATGAAGTAATCAGCCTGACCATTCTGTTGGTTTCCATGGTGATTGCCTCAGCTTTGCCCCACAACGTCTCTTTATAAATAACCTCAACTCATTCTATATTAGCAAAGACTAGGAATTCAGATCAAATGTATAACTGCAAGTAAAATCCCAAATTAATTTTCACCAACGTCCCATCTGGTTGCGACCTGCAGTGTTCTTGGAGGGGGAAATTTTAAAAGACAAAAACACTTTTCTTGAAGGTATTCAGTTAAATATAATAAAGAAACTCTGTGTGTCAAGGTGTGTGTATCTATGTGTCAAAGTGTGTGTATCTGTGTTTGTATGTGCCGGTGTGTATATATATATATATATATATATATATATATATATATATATATATATATATCTTTGTTTGTATGTGCCAGTCTGTGAATCTCTGTGTCAGTGTATGTATATGTATCTGACACACAGATACACACAAACACTGGCACATAGTGGCACACAGATACACACTGACACACACACTAAGATACACATACACACACCTTGAATAACAAATACACACACACACACACTTGCACCCAGAGATACACACACTGGCACATACACAGTGTCAAACACACACACACACACAGATAGATACACACTGAAATACACACACACAGGCACATACAAACACACTGATATACACTCGCACATACACACATACTGACGTACACACACACTCAGATACATACAGTGACACATACACAAACCTTGACACACAGATACACACACTGACACACTCAGACACATACTCTTTGACAGACACACATACACTCTCACTGACAAACATACATACTCTTTTACAGACACACATACAAACACATATACACACTCACTGACAAGCACACATTCACTCTAACTGACACATATACTTTTTGAAGACACACAAACACATACAAACTCTCTAACAGACACATATACAATTTATTATTATTTTTGAATTTTACTCCACCCAGCCTCCCTACCTTTGGGAGTGCTGGCATGGAGTCCCTATGGTCCAGTGAGGCTGCTGGGCTGAGCGTGCAGTCCCTGGGGTCCAGTGGGGCTGCTGAGCGGCTGGCGTGCGGGCGGCGAGGGACCAGTGATCTCCCTGCTCAGCCTCCTCGCGCGTCTCTTAGTGATGATGGATTGACATCATATTACGGCTCCGGCATAACTGCTGTGCACGCAAGGGAGCTGAGCAGGGAGATCACTGCCCACTGCTCCCTCGCCACCTGCGCCTATTTTGTTTTTAGAAATTTTGGCGGAACCCCATTTGTGTTCTCGCAGAACCCTAGGGTTCCGCAGAACATCAATTGGGAAATGCTGGTATAGAGAGTAGGGTGTTTCTTTATTAGATATTTTTTCTCAGTATTTAAATAGGTTAATAGGTTACCTATTTGTTCACCCTCCTCTCTCTCTTAGTTTTTAAGCATTTATTTCCCGATAGGCGCTCCACTTAATACATAGTTTATTCAGTTAACTAGTGGTGTGTGAATGGTCCTAAGGCAGCAGAATGTATTTTATCCAAATTCTAATGTATTCTCTATGGGACTCAACATTTTATAACATAATATTTTAAAGAGACTATAAAAGGTGGATATATATCTCTTTATGCGAGCATTGCTAAATAAATAGTTTGTTCTTTGTGTAATAAAAACCAAGCACATATTTATCTCTATTCCACAAGGGTTTCTCTCTCGTCTTGCATTCTCCATGTTATGGTGCACGTGAGCCTTTGTTTTGGCTAGAAGTTGACTGATGGGCTTTATCAGACTCCTTGCATGCTATAAACATGGTCCAGACATTCCAATGCCACTGACAAGGCTATCCCTGTACGCTTCTAGTTTGTGACTTGGCATGAGCACACAATGTTGCTGTGTTGCAAGTCAATGGAAGCTCTGTATCGGAGATTAAATAAAACCATTCACAAGGACCTCAGGCAGTTAGTTACTCTGGATGTATACAAGTGAAGTGGCAAGGCAGTGCTGAATATAAGCCATGCCACATTAAACACGTTGTACAAAGTTTGGCAAAAGTAAGCAGAATTTACAAGTTGCTGCCAGAGATGGCTGGTTAGGGAAATGTGTATGATCCCAGTGTCATATTACAGAGTAAAAAATAAGAAACACTATAGATCTGCAGACGAATTAACTGCTTGCAAAATTATGTCTTTTTTACTGTTGTGGTTTTTTATGATTATTTTAAATAAAATATTACATTATTATAGCCTCTGTTTATTATTTTGTAATGCATAAATTATATATAAGAGACATATAAATAAAGGTATATTTCCAATGCAATTCCTGCCTTACCTTTGCTCAGTGAGGGCAGACATCGTTAAGCCCTCTTTAGTCAGATCAAACCAAGAGCTAATGACCATGCACTAACCAAGAGCTAATGTTCACAAATACCGACATCACGTACAAGTTCCAGTCATCTCAGAAACATACTCCGAGCTGGTTTCAGCTTTGGTAAGAAGGGCTCTAAAAAAATAAATACTTACAGATGGCTGTCTTTACAGAACAAGGGCAAGCCAGGAAATGTACTAAAATTGTATTTACTTATATGTATGCATTACAAAACAATAAATCAAGGCTAGGACTCATTTCATATTTTATTTTGAATAACAAAAAATGATGACAAGATTATTGTGTGCCTCAATGACCTACTCATATGTTCAATTGTATATAAAGTGTTAGCAACAGGCTACTGGACTCTTCAGACAAAAGTGAATTGTCTGCTAAATGGCAAAGAATTGAGCAGTGAGATTTCAGAGGCATGGTCTATACACAAAAACTGCTTCATTAAGTTCAAGTTGTTTTGGTGACTATAGTGTCCCTTTACATTCAGACGGTGCTTCCAGGCACTAGTTAAACAGGCACTGGATTTATACATGAATTATAAACGAGAATTAAAAAGTGAATACAGTAGCAAGCAGCTAAGGTCTGCTAAATCTAGTCTAGTGTATTCTCTGTAACAGTTTCAAATCAAAATTAGAAAGAAAAAAGAAGATGAAATATGCAGACGGATTCCAATTCATGCAGTGTCAATTAAATACAGTGTTACAAGAGCAAGGGCAACAATTTGTATCTGGATGTCAGATTCATTTTCAAAAGCCTGTGTTTCAATGGAAAACTAATTCTAGTGCTGAGCACTTTTCTTTTTATAGCATTGCGCAGTTACTAGGTTACATCACGGGCCTGGGATGTTTTCAGATTTCATTTCCAGTAAAATCTCTTGGTTTATAAAGGTAATGTATCAGAGAGATGAGATATTGTTGTTGATGTTGCCAGGTCCATGATGCCATTGTTAACACACATACAAAAAGCACAAGAATATTGCAGTGTGCAGAGATACCCTTTTTACTGGACTGACAATGCATTTTTCTCTTCTTCAGACCAGAATCACTAATTAATAAAAAGGTATTGCTGCACTGCAATACTCCGGGCATTTTGGCATATGAATTACTGGACTATTCTGGCTACTCCAATTTACATGCCTTAACATTGTCCTTAGCCAGCATTAATTCTGTTTGAGTGCATGTGTCTGCATATGATTGTGTGTTTTCCCTACCTCACCCCACCCTTGGTACATAGGATCAGGTGGTATTTAAAACAAACAAATAGAAAAAAATGGGGGTTGGGGGGTTGTCCCCTCTTGCTCTATGCTGTGGATGCCATATGCTGGCAAGCATTACTAGTATACTGGGAGTTTTGTATAATCATTATTTAAAGCTGTTCAATATAAAATTAACTGAAAAGAACATAAATACAGTTTAAAAAAAATTGTGTGTTTCATTGTGTTTGTGTGTGTGTTTGTGTCTTCTTATGGTGTGTACTTGAATGCACTTGTGTATTACATTTTAAATGTTTTATTGATCTATATACATCGTTGGCAATCCCTCAGATCCTCTACAACATCGCTGCATTGCTTTCTAAAGCATTAGCTAAATGTAGACCAGTGTTCACTTGCCAAACACCTTCTAATAAAAAGGCAGTCTCCAAAGAGTATTAGGCAGTTTGTTGGACTATTCTACCAAGAATAACAGACAATAATGTCCCCCCATTAAATCTATGCAATCCCAGTGGTGTAACTAAATATTGTCTGGTTACCAAACACCAATAACATGTTATTGTATCATAGAGACTACCTGAAAAATGGTGGCCATTAAATCTATAACAACACAGTATCTTCTTCCCTTGACACGATGTATCTTTCTTTCTATGGCTCGTCCTCATTCAGTTCCCCTCTCTCCCCTCCTTTTCTCATATACCAAAAAAAAATTATATTTACCTACTTGTTATTGGTATATCACACTATTTTTGTTGTTTATTCATGTGTCAATGAACTTTCTTTGAACCTTATAGAATAAAAATAAAGTAAATAAAAATAACACCTTCACTCCAGCTGCAGCTGCCGGGCCACTTGGATCTACTGCTTGTATGTGACAAGGTTTTTCCCCACGAACCACAAAACCCCATCCCACCGCATCGCTGACAATCTGCAAACACAGGGAGGGAGATCATTTGTTTTAATCCAAGAATTGTTAAAGTTAGGCTACTGTTAAAGAAAAGCAGATTATAGACATATATTACATAATGTATAGATTACATAAAGGTTTCACAGAAGTTCCACATGGACAAGAGTAATGCATTGTATTTGAGTTTACGCAGCAAACCACTTGTTTTAAACTATTCTTGTTTTCTCCCTATCCCATCGTAATCCACATAAATGTTTAGACTGAGCCCAGCAGTGGAAATCAAGAAGACTGTTATGGGGAGTCTCCAGAGACATGCACCATGTATGGAATTGTGAGCATGTGAGTACGTTGAATTTAACTGTGTGGAGCACCATAAGCACAAACACACAAACATTATCAAACATTATCCAGAGCTTCCTTACAGACACTTTCCCCTGGTGCTGTCCAAGTTAGTAAGCACTCACAGGTCTTTTTATTGCAATCCCCCAGGGGAGTTTAAAGTGCAAGGAATGAACCTGGCAGCCACCAATATTTGACCCAGGAAAGCTTGTTTGTTTTGTGTCTGTCTATCTACACATATACATAATACAGACGATGATATTCAAGAATCTGATTGTAAACTCAGAGAAAATTATTACTTCTTTTACTGAATGCCATTTATTTCATATTTACCAATATAAATATTTACCATCTGATTCATGCTTATGAATGACATGAAACACACTTACTAGACCAGCAGATCTAAAGTCTTTTTAAACAACGATTCAAGCTATCGACTTAGAATTAGCTTGGCACCTGTTCTTCCTTTGCAAAGCAAGCTCACTGACCTATATTTCAGACGTAGCATAATTAATATTACTATGAATTTTGCAAAACTCCATTTAGACTCTATCCAGTATGAAAAGGGTCTAAATTACACCGGGAAAGAAATGCTGTATCTGTAAATATCTCCTACCAGTTTGAGCCCACCATTAGGAGATGTGGACCCGTTTATAGGTCACAGCTTAAAGAGTAAAAAGCATCTTACTACATAAAGTACATATGTAAGGCACAAGTATTTTATCAGCATTTTTTTTTTTTTTTTATCAATTAGTCTTCTTTTGTATTCAAAAGTAAGAAAAAACAAAATTGCACAATTGACACATTTATACAAAGCGTAAAAAAACACAAAAACCACGCCAGTATAAAGTGTTAAACAGCTGACAGCACTGGAAAGAAATGAGGATCTAAAAAAAAAAACAAAAAAAAAAAAAACAGATTTCGGTGGAGCTGAAAAGATTCCTGTATTTTAGCCAATAAGTGCTTGATATATTTTAAAAGATAAAGTAACTATATTGGAAATATTTACAGTCAGAGTCTTCCTGATGTATGGTGCTCCTGGAGCCAGAAGTTCATCCAAAGTAACAGGTCTCTTCAACACTACAAAAAAATAAAATGATGCAGTGAATATTGTGTATCAACATTTACAAAAATAGTGATTTATTTCTGAATAACATAATCCAGCCCTTGAATTACCCGCTTAACGTGCAGTGCACACTGTCTCAGCTTACTACCAATGTGTGAGCTAATGTGATGATTGATAATCCATCAGGCAAACCCCATCCTCTCTATTTAGATTAATATATTGAACATCTCAATACCTTCACTCACAGCCACAGATACGGAGAATCTTAGTCATTTATGCAGGAAGGAATAATGACAAAATGAATTGCAGCAATTTCAACCTATTGTCTTGGCAGATGAATTTACAATTTTATTTGCATCCAGGTCTGCACAATTTGCTAACTACAAACTGCAATTTTAAATAAATTCAAATGAAGTACAAGAAATATATATATTTTTTTTTCTAAACTTGGAATTGTAGACAAATGGCGATGGAGTTGCACATTGCAGGTCAAATATGTTGAAATGCACAAATTCTCCAATTCATCTTCTGTTTCCAGTTCACGTGTTTTGGCAGTTCCCTTCTCAACTCTATAAATCTTGTTTTGGTTACATGTGGATATGTGATAACTCTACACCCTATATAAAAGAACAGCTTTTCAAACATGAAAAATCCACCTTAGTTGCACAGCTCTAATGCATTAGTCAGCGTTATCACGACTAACAATGCATGCAAACATCTTTCTTTCATATCTCTGAAATAAAAAGTATATATAATACTTCTCTAAAAGTTGTTGCTCAATTGTTTACATTGTGGTTCTTCGAGTGCTCTTGTTGTGGTTTCTCAACCAAGTTCTATATTCCGTTTCTGGAGTGTTTGTGCTTATCTGTAAGAGCAGATTGTAAAACACACAGAGCAAAAATAGCCTTAATGGCTTCTTGCACAATGAGCTTCTGTTTTTCGGTAACCTTGCCGCATATGATAATTGACAGCTACTCAGGGAGGAATGTTGTGAGATTGGCAAACTTCCTGTATATAGCAAGCTTTGCAATCAAGACACATATTTTGTTAATGAGCTATTAACTGCTTAATTACCAAAGCATCCCTCCAGTACAGCTAACAGAGGCTGCACATTTGTTTATGAAAAGTTAGTTCCTAGAGATAAGGAAACTCACGTGATATATTAAGGACCTCAACCCCTTTACTTCCCATATGTATATACAAATACATTCGGTTTTGTTTAACATTGAAATGTGATATAATATATATTGCAGTAGACTAGATTCTAGCGCTGGCGCTAGACTTAAAAAAAAAAAAAAAAATTAAAATCATACTTCAGACTAAGACATTTTCTCTGCCTCGTGCAGACGGACTGTAGACAATCTTGCACTCTCATAGGCGTGCGCAGCCTATTGCATTAGGGTGTGCACCCTAAAGCACAAGCACACGCTGTGTATATATGTATATATGTATGTATGTATATACATATATATATGTATATATATATATATATATATATATATATATACACACACATACACCGCTGTGTGTGTGTGTGTGCTGTGTGAGGGTGCTGTTAGTGTGCTATGTGGGTGAGGGTGTTTGTGTGTGCTTGTGAGGGTGCTGTTTGTGTGTGAGGATACTGGTAGTATGCTGTGTGTGTGTTTGTTAGGGTCCTGTTAGTGTGCTGTGTGAGGGTGCTGTGTGTGTGAGGGTGCTGTTTGTGTTTGTGAGGGTACTGTTAGTGTGCTGTGTGGGTGCTGTGTGTTTGTGAGGGTACTGTTAGTGTGCTGTTTGTGTGCTGTGTGTGAGGGTGCTGTGTGTGTGTATTTGTGAGGGTGCTGTATGTGTGTGGGTGCTTTGTGTGCTGTATGTGTGTGGGTGCTGTATGTGTGAGGCTGCTGTGTGTGTATGTGTGTGTGCTGTTTGTGTGTGTGTGCTGTTTGTGTGCTGTATGTTTGGGTGATTTGTGGGGGCGGAGGTGGGGGCAGATTAGTTCATAAATATCCCCCCCCCTTCTTACTTTATGCCTGGGAATGGATCCTTGTTACTGTTGCCATCCTTCCCTGGTGGTCCAGTGGAGATTGAACTCTAGCCTGCGGGGCTAGAGTTCACTCTCGCGAGATCTGAACGTTGCCGCAATGCTCAGATCTCGCGAGAGGAAACCGGCAGAGCTGCTGGCCATAGCTTACTGGGTCCTCTCCTGCCTCCCTCACTGCCTGTGGGTCGGTGAGGGAAGGCTTAGAGCAGAGCCGGCGCTCAGATAATGCCGACTCTGCATGAGCCGACAGGGGGGATCCTGAGATCTCTCCTGCCGGTCTCACTCCATAGGCGTGCCGCAGGGATTAGGGTGTGCCCAGGCACACCCGGCACACTCAGTGCACACACCTATGTGCACTCTAATTCAATACTCAAGTTCCAGGAGCAAATTATGCCAGGCTTCTGGGGGATCAGAAGGTTCAGAGAGCTCTAGGCACACACCCGTTCATGGGATAAAGGCTGTAGCAGCAGTTAGAATGCTCTCTTAAATACAGATTGCTGATGTTAGCCAATCAGCTCTTGCTGTGTGTGGGCGATATGACTCCATTCTCATGAAACAACCTGCCTCCCTCCCCATCAGACTCTCTCATAGGCTGCCATCCTTTAAGAAGTCCCTAAAAGCTCATTATTTCAGATTAGGATATGTTCCCTCATGGTAACTGTCATTACTGTCTCAACTTAATTAGTGGGTCCTTTCTCCACTTCACTCTCACCTTCCAATCCTACCACTGTCAGTTCTATTTTATTTCATTGTATAGTCTGACATAACTAATTCATTAAGCACCATAACACGTTTGTATAATTGCAAAGTTAGTGGTGCAGAGATTAGATAGTTAGAGTGGCTTATAACAAAACTGGTCTCTGTGTTTAAACTGATATCAGCTACTGTATGGCATAGGCATTTCACGCGTTCTACTTAATCCATAAATACCGGCTGGGTAGGGGTATATAGTGGCCTCTTCCTGATAAGAGAAGGGTCTGTCTGTCGGCGACTATACTGCTGACACATGATTTCAAAGCTGCATAATGTATTTAGAAATAAGGGATTGTTTTTCATGGTTGTTCCCCTTTTACAATACTGTACTTATATATCACATGTTATTATAAAGTCAAAGTGTTCTACTGTAACAGGTTACTGTTACCGAAGACATTTTCTTAATCATTTCTGTGACCTCAGAAGGATGAAATGCCTAATGAACCTTGTAGCAGAATGGATTTGCTATAAAATACTTTTTTCACTTTTGTTTGGCTGTCCGTAGCCCCCTCTGTTCGTTTCCTGAATAGAATATCCCAATGAGCACCGACCACCTCTGGCTGTTAACCAAGCTATGTGCTCGCTTCTGGAAGAGGCTGGAGGAGTGGGCACTACAGCTCAACTTACCTGCTCTGGACCCAGCACCTCGTGAGCCTGATTGGTTCCCACAGTCCTGCTCCTCGATCCCGCAACACCTTCCCGGGCTGGAGACTCATGTGGGAGGAATTCCCGAACACAGTCCACAACATGGAGAGGCTTTGAATAGGAGAAAGTCTCCAGTTATCAGCCCACGCACATGGCGTGGAGGGCATCTTGGACAAGGTGTGCTACCCCCAGATCATGCTTAGGGCTGTGAGTGTGGGTGCAGAGGGGCCAGGGTGCTGACTTCTTCAGCTATTACAGCCTGGGCTCACCTGTGCTCCTGTCTGGACTCTGCCTGACCGCTACAGGTATAGGTTGAGTGGCTCACACTCAGGGGGACACTGGTTAAGAAGGAATATTTAGTCAATAGCCTCTGATTTTCTTGCTGATGCCAGTACTATTATCTAGCCGCTGATTGCCATTACACTCTATTCTCCTTGTCTGAGCTCCTTCATCCATTCTTGTTTAACTTTACCTGGTAAGCTCACTGATCACAGTTAATAAGCTACTTGGTGGTATTATATTGTATTACTTATAGAAGAGTCAGTTACCTTGTCTTCCACCTTCCTTATTCTATTCTTAGGTTTTTAACCTGATTCGCACTTGCTTGCATACATTACTTTATAAAACTGTGCAGTTTATCAAAATGTCATGTACCGTTCCTCATGTGTTATCTGCTGTGTTGGCTATTGCAACCTTGACATTGTAGCGTATCTGTTTTTGTCTTCATATGCACTGCAAAAATAAAGATTAAAAAAAACAAACAAATACTTTACCCGAGCGGCAATTCCGTTCTACCAAAGAGATCTAAGCGCTTTTTTGAAAACTTGGGTATTCAGACTCAAGCTTTTGTGGGGTTCCTGCATAATTTTGATATGTTTTTGGGGTGTGAAATTGTATTATTGAGGTATGGGGTATGATTCTGTATTATTTCTTGTAACTGAGAAATAATTGAGTTATCCTGTTTGGACTCAATTATCTCTCAGGCACAGATGCGCCTGGGAGGGACTTGTACATTTCTCTATGGAGACCCCATGCTGGGGGTCTGTGCATAAAGAGCAGAGTGTGGCACAAGAAAGTCCAGTTGACTCCCAGAACTATGTGTCATCTAGTTGCTGGGGAAAGGGCTATAATCACTACAGCGCTTCTTACAGCTTTGAGGAAGGAACAGCGGGGATACCTAATGGTGGCATCTCAGTTCAGCTACAAACCTATGATAGTAAACTACAGAGTTATTTCACAAATTGGCAATCAGTCTTACCTGACCGAGGATTGCTTAATGGCACGTATGGGTTAATGCTGCTAATCGGGACATTATGGAAATAACCAAGGCTGCTGTTGCTGCTCAGACTACTCCTCCTGACTGATGACACAGTCTTCACCTCATTGGTGGGGCTCACTGCAAAGAAAACAAAAATCCGCTAATACAGAATTCGTAGAACAATGACTGCTGAAAGTAAATACGCAGTAAGCATTGACCCTGTTTAATATGTGAAAGTTATTACAAAAACAAAATCCTTCATATAGAACTATACATATATACATACACATTTTTGAGAATAGAGCTTTAATTCAGATTACTCTGAAATCAATTACAACAGTTGGAGCTTTGCAATTGGACACACTATCAAACCAAGTTATTTACTAATGTGAGAATTCAAAGTCATTTCAAATTTCAGGTCAAAATAGCCAAAACAAAAACTATCTAAGTCAATTAAGCTGTCCATTCGGCTGCTCTGGCCTTAAATTTGGAATTCACGTTGAATTCTCATTTTAGAAATGAACCCTGATAGTGGGCCCAATAGTAAATGAAAAAGGAAAAAAGGTCAAATATATATAGTGTAATGCAACTAAACTCTAAACTTATCTTGAATCCATATATTTTTCAAACTGAAATGAATTAATATTATGAACTGGCTTCCACATAAGCCGACCTACCTGACTGGAAACTGGTGGCCTTGTCGTGGCTTTGCTTGCGTAGACAGAAGGGGCTGTCATGACTCTCTAGCACAGCCTGGGGTTTTTCACTGAGAAGTTCCATGAGTCTTCGCCTTCTCCTAAAGTTCAGCCGGAACTGGAACAGAAGGCAACTCTCCACAAAGTGGTACTTTCCAGCCACTGGATAAGAAATGGATACACATGTAGGATTAAATATTTGTGTTTTTGTGTGTGTATATATATATATATATTAATATAATAATAATATAAATGCACAGGTCCTGATGAAAGTCCAATATACTGTAGTTGAAACATTGATGTGATTTTCTGTATTAGTTGTGGACTCTTTCATATAAGACCGTTTATGGTACATTCGAACACTCAGACATGGTGGAAATGAATCTTGTGATTTCGCTAGCACAACCTTTGTCAAGAAGAAATCAGTAGAGGCTGGTACATGGGGAGAGTGTCAAGAAGATAGTCAAACCGTCCATCCAGGACACACAGAGCTTTGGGCCACATTAAAATATAACTAACTTTTTAGTAAATTTTTTTTTTTTAACTATATAATAAAATAGGGGGGCAAGGCTTAAAAAAACCATTGTATTGTACCACTTAATGATTTAAAAGCCCAGCAGTAAAACCCAATAACAGTGGAAACCCGGGAAAAGAAAGATTGACCTCTGAACAACTGAAAACGAAAGGCAAAAACTTCAGACAAAACTGTACATGTTGTCCAGATGTTTTTTGTTTTCCACTGCTTCTAAGGTCCACACAATAGGTCTCAAGGGGTTTGGACCGTCCAGTTTGAACTACAGTATAATGTTTCTTCTTCCATTTTGTACCTGGAGAAGGTTTTAGTTTAAACTCTTTTATTATTGTGAGTCGATGGGAAAGTATAGAAGTCACAAAGATGATATATTAAGTCAAAAAGACATGAGATAGTGACTTTAATATCTTACACAACATTTTCTGTTTTAAATGACATAACATAAATCAACACAAAATAAAACATGCTCTCTTTCACGTATCACATACAAAAAATAGACAGAGCATTTGACTCTAACACTTTCAGAGGTTGAACGTGTGGGGTGGTAAACCAGAGTTGCCAAGCTTTGAGAAGTGTAATTTATTATGTGATGGGGGGGATGAGCTGCTAACACTTGGAGAAGGTTTTAAAAAGGCTGGATTCTAAGCTGGTAGATAGAATTGGCCAAAGAGACCTAGAGGAAGCAGCTGTATCCCTGGGGTCAGAGTAAATACGTAAAGCTCAAGAGTAAATTCTGTCAAACTACTCTACCTGTCTTTCTAGAAGTAATACACAGCACACCACACGACTGGACAAAATAGCGAACATCTCTGTTCCAAAGTCAATATTGATGGAACAACAATCATTTTTAACAGAGACTTTGGTTGGTGTTCAAAACATTTAGGTTAAACAGTTTTTTGTGTGCAGATTTACAAAAACAGTGGCTAATCTGTCACTTTAGCTGCAGCTCAGCTAATGTATAAGCCAACACCTATATAAGCCTGCCCTAAATAGGACAACGGTGATCACTACTGTCCAGACTTGTATTTAGGGGCTGGGGGAACCACTTAAAAATGCTTTGACACAAACCAGGTACCCACTCTACTCAGAATTTTGCTGCTGTGATATTTTAAATCCAAGATTTTTACCATTCTTTTATTTAACATGTGGATAATTTGCTTGCGTGGGATTTAGCAAGATATTTCGAGTAAACTGGATTATAAACGTGTATATAAAAACATAGAATGTGACGGCAGATAAGAACCATTCGGCCCATCTAGTCTGCCTAATATGTGTTTTATGAAATTGTATTTTTTTTCATAATAACAACAGTAAGATAAAGAAGTAAACAAGAGTTTTACACAGATATTTTTAGAAAGGAAACTATGAAACAATAGTTTCTGTTCAACCACAAACCATCATGTGAGATGTGCAACAAAATCCCCCGGCTCTCTTATCACAGAGACAGACCGAACAGAAAATTGGGCATGCTTCTAAAAGTTGGAGTTTCTTATTAACGCAATACAATAAATGGAATACTAACAATCAATAAGAGAAGGGTTATTCTCTAAACTGGGAACAGAGGTGTCAGGTGAATCCCAGGTAACTTCTGATTTAGTTAAGAACTCTGAATAATTAAACATATATAGATGGCCTGTGACTATTTCACATTCACAAACATTGTTTTTCGGGGGGATGGGGGAGAACGAGGAGAACGAGGAGTAGGAATGTTACGTGTGCCTGAATGCAGTTTGTTTGGTTTTTCTTTCTCAATATTTTACACAGCAAGATGAGTGAGTAACCGGTTTTTCAAGCAAAATGTACTAAATACATACCTTAAATCCAAAGAAAACCTAAAACAGCAGGTGTGTCCTACCAACAAGACAAATATTGCTTGAATCACTCATTATTTATATTTCTTCTGTACCTAAAATGTATCAAAAAACGAAATACTAACATTTTAAGTACACGATAATAGAAGTTGTTCTTAACCAGGGGTATCTAATTCAGTCAGGGGGAAATGAAATTGATATAAAGACCACGCTGAATGCCAATGAAGTGTGCATTACATATATATATATTAATGTTCATCATACTTGAAAGGAACAGTAAATTATAGGGTTAAATTCATGTTCTTTTTCTGTTTCTTAAGGGAAACTGCAATTTGATTTGGGGGAAGAGGTCAAAGTAATGTATGGGTTACTTTCCAACAATGCGGGCTGGCTATACAGCTGGCAGAGAGGAGGTCTTCTTGGCATAGGGCTTATTTAAGATTTAAGAGTGCCTCATAATGGCTGCTTCATAACCAGGTTTAATGTGTAACCTTGCACATTCAGAACACCCATGCTGAAACAACTAGAGCAGGGATTTGCTCTAAAGATTGTAAGTAAATTACTTTCTTGCATCTAAACTTACAGTACATACTACACTATCAAAGTTTCTCTCTGCTCTTTATTTTTGCATATACCACTTATATCCATATTTGCATTTGGAAGACCAACACTATCCATACCAGCCTATATCCTTAGACGGGGATTATACCGTCCAGGCGCTACAAAGTAGAGCTCTTGTATAGCTCTTCCAAATGTGAGTGGCTCTCCTACAGAGATTAATTGAATATCTTCCTACCTTGAACAAATTGTATTGCACTATCATTGTCTGTTTTCTCTCTGAGGTTTTCAACCAGCCGCTACGTATTATAGCTGTATGTACGTATAACTTTGGGCGCAGTATACTCTTTTCTCTTTTTTACATTCAGAATATAATTAACATCCTCTAGAATGTAAGCTCATTGAGCAGGGCCCTCCACCTCTCTGTTCCTGTACGTCCAGTTATCTGGTTACAATTACATGTCTGTTAGTCCACCTATTGTACAGCACTACAGAATCTGTTGGCGCTATATAAATAATAATTTATAGAAAACATAGTAGAATCCTCCCTAGTCACGGAATAATTCCATCTTAGGCTATCCTGAGCATAATTTGATCCCTTTTCAAGGTGTCATGAAGACTGTAAAATCAAGTCACTGTCGCCTCCTCAACCAAGTAAGTTGTGAAACCTCTATTTGAAAGCTTTAAATGACTGATGATCACAGTAATAATAACTAGTATTTATATAGCGCCTTTCTCCCAGTGGAACTCAAAGCATTTTTCAGCGCACGTTGTCGGAATTAACCAAATTGGCAGCTGAATAGTAATAGATGTTATTATTACCCAATTGATGGTACTCATTTTATCGACCTCGGAAGGATTAAGGGCTGAGTTGACTCTGCCAGGATTTGAACCTGTGACCTTGCATTTTTTTAAATGCTTTGTAGTCAGGGAAATGACCAAATGAGTACCTGACAATGTCCACGCAAGCTTTTTTCTCATTTTCTCCTTTGTTCCAGGGACAGTCTTTTTGAACTTGTTACACTTTTTACAGTTGGGATATCTATGGTCACTCATGTGTTTTAACATTGAATGTTATAGAAAAAAAAACGTTTAACCACTAACACAATACTTTTCTTGGACGTATTGACCAGTTTCCTGTTCTCTATCTAGGACATCCATAGCACATTCACCACACAGCATTTAGAAATAGAAGTCAGTGCAAGTGAGGCCAAACACACTGTAATGTGTACAATGCATGTTGCACATTAAAGGGACACTAACATAACAACTATAGTTCTCTGTAGTGGTTATAGTGACTCAGGGTGCTGTCACACCCTTGTTTTTGTCAAACCATTCTGAAAAAAAAAAAAAGAAACATGTCTCCCTTCCCCTCCCCCAGCACCTACATCCCAGCCCCTCTGCTTATGCTCAGTTAATGGAGAAGAGAAAGGGTAGAGATGCATGACTTCAAGTGCCAAAAGGACCCAGGTGTATGTCAAGCAAAAACTGGGGGTGCCTAAATGCAGACCCTATTCTGGCAGGGTAACTCACTAAATCAAATTTTCTTTAAAAAATGGCACCTCAGAGGGGATATGACAGGATTATACAAATATATCCGAGCCACTAGAAACCACCAATAAACAAACTGCAAGACAAAAATGTTTTTTTTACTAATTAAAAAAGGCTCTAATAAAGTAATTGTTCTGTTTACCAACAGGAATGATAATATACTGGTGGCAATCTTTCGAAGTCTGGCCTCCTCGTTGGGGCATGTATTCACTTGTTTTCATGCAACAGAAACCATTGTCTGGAAATCTATTCATAAACAAGACTATACATAGGACTATATATAGACTGTAAGAAAGGAGATTTCATCTAAGGCAAAGGAACGGGTTTTTTTTTATAGTAAGAACAATAAGGATGTGGAATTCTCTGCCTGAAGAGGTGGTTTTATCAGAATCTGTAGAGATGTTTAAAACAACTGGATGAATACTTGCAAAAAATATTAACGGATATCATTTTTAATAGATAGAGTCACAGCTTCTTCATGGATCTGACTTGTCTTTCTGGGGTGTAGAAGGAAATTTATCCTAGTTTGTTGCAAAATTGGAAGCGCTTTAAACTGTTGGGGGGGTTGCCTTCTTTTGGATCAATAGCAAAAACAAATGTGAGAAAGTTTGAACTTGATGGACGCATGTCTCTTTTCAGTCCATGTAACTATGAATCCAAAATTGAAATGTAAAATGTAAGCTAAAAAGCCAGTTTAGAAGAAAATCATCAACCCAACTCTCTGCTACTTTACTTCAATTTTACCATTCAGATTGAATATGTTATCATTCAATGTTTAGTGTATAGCCATGTGAACTATAAGTGGTGCATAGGGTGTTCCTTTAACTTCGTAGCGTGTTTGGTGATGAGTCCTGCATTCACTAATACAAGCAAAAACATTTTTTCCACAAAATCGATCCAGTGATATGTTACAAACCGTATCACAATGACAAATTACATTTTAATGTAGACTCCAGGTTATAGCAGCTAATTCTGTTTTTTTTTTTGTTTGTTTTTTTAAATGATCTGTAAATATATAGAGTTTAGATTTTTAAAATGTAACTGTAAAATTTTTTATTTTTTTTTGCATTATTTGTAAGTATTTATACTGGTTTATACTTGTTTTCTTTGGGAGAAAGATTAGCTCTTTTCATGATTAACCTTTGTACGCACTGCCTTTCACTTGTTACATGTTTCTCTGCCAATGTTTACACAGAGAATTAAAAGTTAGTACACTATTCCAGGAAAGCAATTTAGACACATCACAAAGACTTGATTGATTTTGTTATGTGGTGATCTGGAAGCTGAAAAACCACTTTATTCAGAGAACACTATAGTGATTATTAGCAGACAGCTACTCGGTGGATGGACTCACAGAGAGACGAAATCCATGATCTATGAGCTATCCTTCCACTGGTCAAAAGGACCCAGAACATCGGAAATTGGTCAATCGATACGCATTTACCAATGTCAGCATGCGTCATCATCCATTAGTGAAAATAATAAATTCACAAAACTGAAAGCTATTTCAGTAAAGGTAGATTCAGAAGTTATCTGCCTGCTGATGGGGGAATCACATTTTATTATGGATATTTAAAATTATACTAAATCTTTTAATGAAGAGATTGTGTTTTAATTCAAACATTAACATCGGAATGGAATAAATCAACCAAGGTATTTGGACAGTTCCAGAATACGGACTTTACGGAGATAGACAATCTCATGGGAGAGCAATAATAGCTAGTCGTAATAAACAGACTAGTTCTAATATGGTGTATTCCTTAAATGATGGTTGTCACCTTCCCTCTCGTTATTGAACCATATTCTGTTAAGTCTGCTATCACCTTATAGGAGATGTAGGTTTACCACATATTGCCAAATAATGATATATGTGTATCAGACTGAGTAGAGGAGCGCCACTTAGCTACATCAATTCCATCTGGCTTCTATTACTTTTGTCTGGTTTCGTTGCAATATGGAGATTTCTTTTCTTCTCTGATTGATAACATTTAAGCATGCATTATTTGCAGCAAGGATAGTAAATAATTAAATAAGAAACTTATAGTTTAACATGTGTTATCCGTTGGCAGCTCATAGGTAATTACTGTTATGGATAGTTTGTTATAGGCATTTCCCTATAAAGGCAATCAATAATAAAGCCTAGGAAAGGGAACTCTATAGACCAGGGGTGGGGAACCTTCGGCCCTCCAGATGTTGTAGGCTACATCTCCCTTGATGCTTTGCCATCCTCATGGCTTTAAAAGTATTATGGGAGAGGTAGTCCAAAACATCTGGAGGGCAAAAGGTTCCCCACCCTTCTATAGACTGTCAGAAAGTATCACATACAGTTGATAGAGACACAATTGTAACACACTAAGATACTCAATTGTTCTTGAACTGTAAATATTTTGTTTCCTTTTTAATTGTTGTCAAGGCAGCTATAGTAGAATTAGTCCAATTACTATTTCATCACACTAGTAGGAAATTATTTCCAAGTGAGGAACTCTTTTTCTATTTTCAACACTCTAGTATAACTATTTTGGGTTAAGCCGGTGGTTTCCAAACTGTGTGGGCGCCGCAAAATGTTTCCAGATCCCCCACTCCCCGTTCCCGATAAAATAACCATGCCGTGCCTCACTCTCCCATGCCCACCCTGCAGGACCGGAGGGGTGATCAGAGATCTCCCTCACCAGCCAGGGAGAGAGGACCCAGGGGAGCTCAAACCTGCAGCTCCGCTGGGTTCTCCTCTTGCGAGCTTGGAGAGTTGCAGTGGTTACCATGGTAACGTTCCAACTCTCGTAAGAGTGATCGCTAGCCTCAGGAGCTGCTAGAGTTCACTCTCACCACTTTGACCACCAGGGATTCTCCACCAGACCACCAGGGATTAGTACTGTCCTCCTCCCAGTCAAAGGTTAGAAGGGTGGGGGGGGATATGAAGATTATTTTATTTTATTAAAAAAAAGTATATAGATTTATTAATCTAAACTCATATCCCCACATACATACATACAACAACTCCCCCCTTTCACACACCCTGCCCCTCCATACAAACACTGTACCTCTCAAGCACACAAAGCCCCTCCCCACACACACTGTAGTCCTAATGTAGACACTGCCCCACACACACACTCCCCACCAACACACACATACACTTCACCCCACACATTGTACCCCTCACACACAAACACACTACTGCCCCTATCCCCTACTACAGCCCCTATGAAGGCAGACCCCAGGCAAGTTGTCAAACTGTTCTTAATACTTACCCTGGGAGGACACCACGGCACTCCTGGCACCATAACCACTACAGCATGGTAAAGCGCTACGGAATCTGTTGGAGCTATATAAATGGCGATAATAATAATAATAATAGTGGGTATTGTGTCTGGATTGTTTCTTTAAATAATCTACCAGTGCCCCTCCCGAGATTAGTTTCTGGATCCACCCCAACCGGGAAACATTTAAGCAGAACAGGGGCCCAGTATATGCCGCAGCGCTGGTCACAGGTCATTATAACTAAATATGTGTATTTTTATTTTCTATAAACAGTTTGGTTATTTTAGTCTAGATTTTGCCAATTGCCTTTCAATGTTTAGTGAATAAACTCTTAGGTAATGCACAACAGTAAATATTACATCTGCTGGTATTCCAATTATCCTCCATATTATGCTCAGTTAAGAAAGAGGGGTAAAATTAACAATGGTAGCCACACACCGTGGGTACAGCCAGGGAACGTATATCCCATCAAACCAAAACATGTCAGAACATGAACGTTCATGTGCAAATTGAAGGGGAACACACCAAAGTAAGTGCTCCAAGCAAGACACCAGCCTGGTATTTACGTTGGGTACACATGTATGAGTTTATTTTCTCCTTGCTCAAAGTAAATAGGCATCGGGTTTAGACATGCAAAGCTGGTGGCTTTCAGTTTTAGCCCCATTTCAAGGAGCTCAGCTGCAGGTAGCTGTGTTTGTTTTCTAAACAGAACAGCTTGCATATGTTGTGACATTACAGTGCGGGTGAGCTGTGCTTCGAACTCACAAAAGAACGGCTGCTATTGGATGCACTCCATAATGCTGGACTGAAGGGACGGGGCCCTTCCCTTGGTAAGGCAGCTGGAATGGACCTCATATAAATTATAATAAAACTAAGATAGAACGAAAACTTGTTTGTTGTCTGAGTATTGCTAATAACACACACGCACGCACGCACATGCGTGCGCACACAAGCACACAAACACGGTGAATTGCAAATTCATGGTCAAATTAGCAAAACTGGACAAATTCTTCAAGTCATCTATAATTCTAGTTCAGGTACTTTGGCCTTATTTTTAAAAATTCAGTTTTGAATTCCCCCCATAATTCTCACTTCCCTTACTAGCCCTGTAAGTGAGTTATCCCCCCCACACTCGCTATTAAAGCATGATGTTACTCTACTCATTATAACACCGCAGAGGAATGGGAAGGTGTTACAGTCCTTTCCAAGCAGTGTCGTAGAAAGCCTGATTGTTTTTTAACTAAACACTTGTATAATATTGTAAATTACAGCTATACTATATAATATGATCTGCTAGCTTGAATAAAACATACACAAACAAATCAGAAACGTGAAACCGTACAAAAAGCATTTGTCACTCATCATTGTACGTTGTGAGATTACACACTTCAATATGCAACTCAACTACAATGTTTCTTCTGTCACGAAATGTTGGTTTAGAATGAATGTTAACTCACTCTTAAATATATATTAGATGTCTGACAGCGTGGCACGGTCTGAAAATAGCAGATATAGGATAATTGCCCCAGTAGATCAAAAAGCTAATTATTTGTGTTCTAGGTTTTACTAAATATTAACTATTAATACGGTTGCTGTTCAAGAACATATTCAAACTAGCCTGTAATATTTTTAACATTACTTATTTAAATCATCCTCTAAAATATTTAACATTAATGTCAGAAACATTTCCTCAACATTTTCCTCAACATTCCATCATTTTCTTTTAAGTGCTAAATGAGCAGGCTCTGAAGGGGAGTACTCTGGACAGTTAAAGGGATGACGGACCTTTAAAGTTTGAGTTGCTGTGTACAATTTAACACAAAGCAGTGTTCTACTATACAGGTACCCCAAACTGCAAACATTAAACCTGTACAGACTGCATTACAATGCTGCACTCAGAGAAGTACCCCCACCATGTGCTGTATGTAATCTCTATATATGGCATATTAAAATGGCATTCTCTCAAATTATGTAATTGGATATATTACTTTAGTCTCACATTATAAAATAAATAAATAAATAAAAATTTAGATTAAAATTTACCTGGAATTCAGTGCTGGACAAGGGTCTTTCATGCCCCATCTGTCGCCTGACTCTATCACCCCTTCCCTCTCCATAATCTAATCAGAAGGAAGCATTTGATTGGACCGTTGACCAGGGCCGTCTTTAATATTGATTGGACCCTGGGCAAAACATTTGCTTGGGCCCCCTGGACCATGTACACCCTCCCCAGGCGTGCAAACACGTTATCACCCTTAACGCAGTGGCTACCTAAAGTAGAGAGGTGCAAGAATATTTTTTTTGGGCCTCCCTATTGCAAGGATGTTTAAAAGGTAGATCCCCATCTGTTGTGCAACTCCAGCAATGCCTTGACAGCTGGGGCTCTACCATTTATCCATATTTGCAGGTTTGTATTTAGCACTAAGCTGTTTTTGTGTGTTTCAATGTAAACAGGTTTTTGTATGGAATATGTTTGTATGTGGCATTGGCGTTTGAATGTAAGCATGTATTTATGTGTAGTGTTGGTTTTTGAATGCAGGGGTGTGTATACATATAATGTTGGTGTTTAACACAGACGTGTATTTGTATGTTGTGCTGAAGCTTGAATGCAGGGGTGTATTTGTGTGTAGTGTTAGCGTGTGAATGTTGAGATGTATGCACATATACACACACAAACACACAGGTAGATATGCACACAACCTGACACACAAATACACACCCTGACACACATACTAATAACATAACATACAGATACACTGAAACACACAAAGACAACATACAGATACACACTGACACACATACAGACACACCGATACACATCCTGACATACACAAAGATACAAACACTGACACACATGCAGTTACACAGACACACATATACACACCTGACACACTTGCAGATACACACACATATATACACACTGACAAACACACAGATACAAAAAATGACAACATATAGATACACACACAGATATACAGACAAACTGACACACAAACATACACTGATAGACATACTTACACAGACACATAAACTGACAGACATACTGACACATAGACAGACAGATATATACTGAGACACACACAGACATACTGACACACTGACAGACATGCTGACACATTCACCAACACACACACCGACATACAGACACAAAGAGTCAAACTGATACAGACATGCACACACCGACATACAGACATGCACACACTGACATACATATGGACACACAGAGACACATACACTAACAGACATGCTGACACACACACACATATACTGACAGACATATTGACACACATTCACAGACACACACACAGGCATACTGACACACACACGCACTGACAGACATACTGACACATGCACTGACAGATATACTGACACATACACTGACAGATATACTAACACACACACACACTGACAGACATACTGACACATTCACAGATACACATGCAAAATTTACACTATTAAACCCACCCTTTCTACGTTGGAGGGTGACTTTCCTACCAGTGGCTGAAGCTGCTGGGAGTTGGGGTCTGGCTAGCTCGGCCCAGACCCCCACCGCTCTGCCTCTTCCTCCTCCCGCGCGCTCCTCTCTCTATGGGAGGAAGTGACGTGCAGCCGTCACTTCCTCCTAGCCGGCTGCCGAAAAGCAAGAGGGCCTGGTCGCGCTCTTAAAGCGCCAGAGCGCAAGACCGGGCCCCTGCTGACAGAAGCCCACCGGGTGCGTGGCTGCACCGGCAGTTGGGAAAAATGCTTGAGGTCAGCGGGGCCCACGGTGCAGCTGCTTCGGGCCCCCAAGAGTAACTGGGCCTGGGGCAGCTGCCCCGTTTGCCCCGCGGTAAAGACGGCCCTGCCATTGACATAAAGGACTTAAATTAAAGCAGGGACTGAGAGAGGGGACATATACACACTCTACCAGGCATCCATTAGAGCTGCAGTTGCAGAGTTTGACTCCGGGAAAAGACACATCATGTTGAAAACCCATTTAGGAAAGAATTGATGCAATGCTTTCTTATAGGGAATGCGTAATTAGGAGTATCCGATCCAGCTAGGAATACTGCTTTGTATTCCTGGTGTTACACCATATTATCATATAGTGTTAAGCCCAGCACTATGCCACAGTACCCCAATACCAGTGGGTCCTACACGAATTCTAACACTGGAGACAAATCCAGACTCCTACCACAATATGCAGAAGTGGTTATGGTGGTTGGAGTAACCCTTTAACTCTAACAAATCATGTAATATAAAAGATATAGTGAAGGGAACAAGATGGGCAGTGTCAAAAAAATACTTTAATAAAAATGACCCAGCAATTGAAGTTGCACGGCTCGGTGCAAACTAAACTCCTGACTGCCCAGTTGACCATTCAGTCTTTTTCCGGCAGCTAATTATCTCCACAATATGTGAATCCATGTGTACTCCTGAAGCTAGCATAGTCTGTGGCATAACAAGCATTCTCTTGTTCGTGTTAGTTTCTCCACTATTCTTGTCCCACATCATGTGCAATCACATCAGCTGACATGTGCAACCCCAGCTCTAATGCCAGTATGCATGCTTCCTGCTGTGGGAGGTAACAGAGGGAACATGAAACATGTGAATAGGATGTGTTCAGAGTCCCATGGCTGCCAGTCCTAATCTTAAATACCCTCAATGGTGGTCCTGTCTATAGAAAGTATTTCTGCTCTGTTTTTCTAGATTAGTCCAGGAAAAAAAATCATTGCTCAGTTTCTGGGAAAGTGCATTATTCCCCGGCAAGAGAAAGTGATATTTAGCTCTGCCCACTCTTTGAAAACATATCCCTAATTTCAAACGTTCTCTCTTTCCATGCCCGTGTGAAGTGAAAGGACCATGAAAAAGACTCCCATCCAAGTTCCTAGATATGACTGCCAATTTACTATACAGTGTTAGGAATGGTATTAGTGTTTATCTCACAAAGAGAGTCTAGAACAGATTCCACATCTCAAGGAAGGAATGGATTAGACTCACCATGCTGGATTACTGCGTGCTCCAACAGCCGGCGACACAGCTGCACTGCTTCAGTTCTTGACTTGGCCTCTTGCTCCAGCATCAACCAGTCAACAAACTGAGAAGCAACAAAAGTGCGCTCGTACTTAGTACCATCCTCTTCTCTCGCTTGCAGCAGTGCGTTTTCAGTGTTCATTACCCTAAAAGCAGATTTAAAAAAATCATAGCATTAAAAAAATATATAGGGACACTATAGGCACCTAGATCACTTTTTACACATATTTGCATTGCAGGCTTAAGACTACCTCTAGTTTTTCCTGCAGTTTCACAGAGTTTGACTCCATAAAACGACGCTGGACGTCCTCACCCTGTGCACGAGGACATCCAGCCTTCTCAGAATCCCCATAGGAAAGCATTGAATCAATGCACAGCTTAATCCAGCTTTATGCACGGGCAGCAGTCAACGGGCATTAGGTCCTGCATATGAATTTGGGGGGAGTGGGAGAGAGGGTGAGCCGTGGGTCACTGAGGAAGCAGCTAACTGTTTAAAGGGTTATTTAACCCTTTATACCACTGGGGTAGGGAGGTGGAGGGCAGATTTGCATGATTTGTGCATGCTACACAGGTACTCGATATTAGAATTATCAGTTTTCATTATCAGTACTTCCAAGGTTGCATGGTTTTGTATAAATAATGCAAAATTGTAACTGCTGCATTGTATGAGGCACTGCATAGAGGCCAGGTTGGAGGAGTTGGAACTGTAGGAAATGTGCACAGACCTGTATTTATAAATACCCAATAACTGCCAAAGAGTAAAAGAAATCTCAAACAAAGGGAAAACAATTAGTTTATTGATCTGCTCTACTTTTCAGAAGTAGAATCTCTCAATTTAAATCCTAACCGGCATAAACTATAAGAAGCCAAATAAACCTTCAAGCAAAACAATTCTGCAAATATTGAAAATGCAGGATTGTATAATGAAAAAATTCCCCTTTAAGGAAGTAATCTTCACAGCAGCGAGTTGATAGGTTTCCAGTGTATATATTTTCTCTGGCCTTTAGAAACAGCTGTGATAGATCAATGTTCATCATCTCCCCTTCTTGGCCAAGCTCCATGGCGGTCAACCAAGAGGATTTGCACAAGACCTGTGAGACCAACTGTAGGGATTATCCCTGTATTATAAGTATCAAACTCACTTTATTGACAGTAAAGAACTAAGGTAGAGGTGTAGGTTTCACAAACTGCGTATCACTAACTTTTTCAAAGAACACAATATATGAAGTATCTTTTTCCATTTTCTCTGTTGTTCCACTTAAAAAAATAGAGATTGTGTGGGTATAATATTTACACATTGATTTGTTCTGACTGCCCAGTTGACCATTCAGTGCTCACTTCTTTAAATGAATAATAATTAAAAAAAAATAAAAAAAATAGCTCCTGTTTTAGTTTCCTTTTTCTCTACAATGTACTGGTAATTGAGTCCTTTTCGTTGCTGATGGTAACAGGATATGGTGCTAGAAGTCAGTTGCTGTCTTTTTTTTTTTTTTGTCAAACTATTTTTGATCAGTTTGTTAAAAACTGGAGAAAAAAACCCCAGTGCCCAAAGTCCAGATGTACATAGAAACATAGAATGTAACGGCAGATAAGAAACATTCGGCCCATCTAGTCTGCCCAATTTTCTAAATACTTTCATTAGTCCCTGGCCTTATCTTATAGTTAGGATAGCCTTATGCCTATCCCACGCATGCTTAAACTCCTTTACTGTGTTAACCTCTACCACTTCAGCTGGAAGGCTATTCCATGCATCCACTACCCTCTCAGTAAAGTAATACTTCCTGATATTCTACAAGTCTAGGATTGTATCATTTGTCAGCGTTAATTTGTCATTATAGAGGAACACTTTGGTAGAAATCACAGAGGAGAACATCAAATTGTACAGCGCTACAGAATCTGATGGCGCTATATAATTAATAAAATAATAATAATCAAATGATGAGGGGCAGGCCTCGTATACAGATCAGGGTAAGAGAGATCTAGTGGTTAATATGAAGGCAGTAAATAGGTCAGCAAATAAGACTCAAAGAAGCTTTTTTCAGGAAGAAAAAAAAACAACAATGACAAAACAAAAAAAACACACACAAAGAAACATCACACGGAACAGAGCTAAAAAGAAATGTAAAAAAAGCAGATAGGACAAGGCAAAGTGAAACAGACCAGAAGAAAACAAAACAAATTCATTTAGGAGCAAACCAGATGACTTCAAACAAAGAAAGCATTGTGGAACAGTTTGTTTTATTTGTTGAGAATGAGAGAAAATAAAGTCAATATACTCGAAGAGTACATGTTTTCTTTGCAATTAAACTGTGTGGTTTTCTGTAGCTTCACTTTCCTATGTCATATAAGGCTGACGTCAAAGAAAATTGGATAAAATTAGGCTCATTCTTTGTCCATCCATGCGTCACACGTTGCTAGCCAGAGTAATGCACCGTTGTTACTGCATGTGGAAAGGTTCCCATGGGACTTGATTATTCGCTATAAGCCTGGGCAAACTGATTGATTTTTGTTTCTTAACAGCTTGACCTGTCATGTTCTGAATTTAAAAACCCTGGTAATAATTTACTTTCAATGTCCGAAAAAATAAATGGAGGACTCCTTTCCAGAACCAAGAACAGCTCGTAAAAAGTGCTTTCTGTGCTTTTATCATTCGTACGTCTAGTCCTATACCAACACATGACCACGTACTTCATTATTTTTGTCTTTTTAAAAACAAAACCATATTTCCTATGGGGTCTCCTCTTCCGATGCATCATATAAACTGCCAAACATTAACCCGTTAGCTAAGAAAGTCTTATTCTTAGATTATAAATCAGTTTATTAAGGCATTAAACTCCTCAAAATAGCTAACCAAGTAGTTGTAACACACAAAAAAGAAGCATTATGTGATCCTGGCTTGAAGAAATAAGACATATCTCCCAGAACCAAAGCATATTGTGACTAGCCGCTTCTCAACATCTTTCTTCCACCAATAGAATGTGACAAACTTATTTAGATTAGGGGGAGATCGGATCCTTCTCCTTTATTTACTTGTACAGAAAAAAAAAATACATCCCGGAGATATTTTCAGTTAAGCCCTACAGTCATTAATTGTTCTGTAAAAGCTCTGAACAATGTCTGGCAATCTGGGTTTAGTTATTAAAAATAACACAATAAGGTTTGGAGCTGTAGAACATTTTTTCTTTTTTTTTTGTTATTATTACTGTAAGGCAAGAAACACCCAACAAAAAACAGCAAGTTCATGAAGATAAATGTCCAGTAAGACGCATATTAAAGGAACACTCCAAGTACCATAACCACTTCAGTCATCTGTTTTAGTTTTGGCAACCTGGCTGATTTCCACCTGTTATCCAGACATAAGCAAAGCCATGCAGGACTGCACTGACTGTGTGAGTGCTCTCAGCCAGTGTGTATGGTCCAGGATCAGCTGTGCTTTTTTTATATAGACGTCTGGCTTTTCCATCAGGAGATGATTAGATGCAGCACAGGTGCCCAAGGAACCCAGGTAAATGACATACTGTACTAAGGTGGTATGACTACTTCCCATGGAATAGTGCCGGGCACTCCTGATAATATAATAACTACAGTGGGCTAAAGTAGTTATGGTGCTTGGAGTATTCCTTTAATGCCAAGTTACCCCTAGCATGGTCTTTCTGGTGCCATAGGTGTTTGACTAAGATTATAAATTAGGTGAAAAGTGCATGAAAGCGAGACATCCTCAGATGTGGGTTTTAACCAAGTTCACTTATCTTATAACTAGCAGGGCCTAGCTAATAGCTGCCTTGTAGTTACATACTAATCAAGAAACCTTATTTTGTCACTAAGGAGTGCAAAAGTTTGACAAAGTTCACCAGAGTAATAAAACACTACCAGCCCTCCTTGACATATAGTGTAAAGGAATTGTCATTATTTTTTTTTTTTTTAAAGTGTATTATGAATGCTACTAACGTACTACCATCCAGGGATCAATTGTATTTAGTCTAATGGTATTCCCTTTACACATAACTTGTTGTATTGTATCCATTCCTACAAATTTTTATATTTTTGGATGCAGTGTGACACATGATGTCGGGTACAGAAGCTGCAAAACTGATAGGGCTGATACATAATTGTTTATTAAATAGTTTATATTTATTGTTAATTTAACAATAAGGTTTTGAGAATACATTTCCCTCAGCCTCTCTATTGTTTGGATACATTAATTCCAACTATGGTCTTAGACGATTAGGAACTATGCATTTCCTGTACTTACATAACTTCAGAACAAGATAATTATTTAGCATTTTCACAGGGATTCTTAAATTATTATTTATTTATTTTTAAAAAGGATGCAGGATATAACATACTTTTCATATATGCGCTGTCCTCGCATGAAAACCTTTACTTCCTGATCCAGAGGAAACGTCCCATCATCCTTTCTGAAGCGGTAAAAACCCTTGCCATCTTTAAATTCCTCCGTTTCATTAACCACTAGAACAGGAAGAAACACAGAGTTGATTTCAAAATTCTCTCGTGGTTGAGTTAGGGCAACCTAGTGTGGGCAGAAACATGTGACATACCAGTCTATAAGGATTAGGAGGTTTGTAGCGTAATAATATCAGGTCAATAAGGAGACACCCAATCCTGCTCAAATTTTGGGGAGACACGGATGGTCAAGTTTGACACTATCATTTTCCATTGCCAAATAAAAGCATTTTACAACTCCGATTTAAGACCATATTACTTCAAACTTAGGCCTCGATTTAATATTTTTGGGTGAGCTTTTAAACTGATTTAATATTTTTGGATAAACTTTCAAAATTATGTAATATTATGAAAATATTTTAATTTTATAACATGTTGATAATTTACGATATATTGATATATTTATATATATATATTTTATATGTTAATATTTGAAAAATAATTTAATCATTTAAAAATCTATTAAATCATTTGTTAAAAAGCCTGTCCAGCAATATTAAATTGAGGCCTTAATGTGCTGCAGTACAGAGTCCAAACAATAGATTTTGGGGTCACTATCTGAATACCCATCAACTCAACCCAAAGTGTAAATTACTGAAGGAAGGTGTTACAAATGATCTCATGTCTGATATTGAACACCGATACTACAGTTTTAGTAGCCATTGGCCTGTAACCTGTAAGCCGCCCCTTTTCCAAACGGACGCTTCTTCAACCAAGATGTTGACTCACCATGATGAATGATGCTCGTATCAATCAGTTTTTGCATAAGTTTCATTGCAATCTCTCTGTCGGAGGCCTCTTTGCGGTCGATGAGCCAATTAAGTACTTCCCTGGCCACAAAACAATTTGGATAAGTCTTCAGATGGTATCGTCTATCTTTAATAATTCTTTCCTCGTGAAGTCTGAACCTTTAATTAAAATAAATAGATACAGATTAGTTTTAGTTACTCAATGAACATATCAGAAACATGCAAACATGGCTGACTGCTCTACTAATTATATCAGCACCTGCTTTGTTCACATTGAATGACACACTGCCAGCACAATGTTCACCTTCAAAATCAGAGTGCACATTACATAATTCAGTTAAGAAGAAATGTCTGTATTATGAAACCAGTGTCATGTGCTCTGTTTATTTGTTTCCACTGCTTGAACTGTGAGGTTCAAAAAGAAAAAAAAAAAAGAAAATTTTTATGGCTCTATAAAAACAACTAGTAAACGATTTGGCATGCGTGGTTTAATTCCCTCTTGGTCTCTTTTTGTTTCTTTCTTTCTTTTTTTTAAAGATTAGCCAAAACAAGCACAACAGAGAAACAAAAAGGAAAGGTTTATTTTGTTTGGAAATATAATTCCTAGGTTCACATTACTGCTGGCTACATTATACACACTGTCACTTCCTGCTTTTATGTAGAACACACAGTTAAGCTTGGCATGTACATGTTCAAAAGTGCATGTTTGCTGTTAGCAGATCTGAGCAAACTGTGAACACGTGGTAATAAACTACAGGGATATGACTGCTACTTGGCTCACAGTTAAGATTGTAGAGTACAAAGGTGGAGACTTCTGTATGTAAGCATTAACACATAAATCTCTCCTATTTTACCAGCCCACGGCAGATTTTAAATAAATTCAAAGCTCAGGTCTAATCGAATTTTATGTAAGTATTTATTCCAAGTCGGACTGCTGTAATAGCTCTTATGTTGTGCACCTATTGCTAATGTTAAAATGAACTAAATTCAATATTTTCTACATTACGTTTACACTTTACGGTTTATCCATTCTTCTGTCATGCCAGGTTTGTTTTTGAAGATGGCATTTCATTATTCAATGAATAAGAATATATGATTTATCACTGCTAAAGCCACCGTGATTCTCGATTGTCGCTATTTCACTCACTGTTTAACAGGTGCGGGGGAGGAAGTATTCTTTTTTTAGATTAAAAAGAAAAAGAAAAGAAAATTGGGACATCTGTGATCAAATATCAAACCACATACAAAAAAATACACCCCTGTAATTTACACATCCTAAAGTGTCCCTCTGACACAGTCACATACTCACGTTCTATGTCTGAAAACTCATTTTGCTTGTATACGATTGCAACAATAAAGGTGAATAATTAAATAAATATAATAACCCCCCTCATGGCTCTCAAGTGTGCATAGAGGATAATGGGAACGAAAACAGGATAATATTGTAGGTGCCATTTCCCAGACTGTGCAGCAGAGGTAAGTTTTTTCATTTACCTCATCTTAGATTCAATTATTCTGTACGAATAACTATAGTAAATTAACAACAGAGGGAAAAAAATAAAAAAAAGGACTGGTAGAAGGTCCAATTTAAAGAAAAGCATGAGATATTGATGGAAAAGAAGAATTCTTCCCTAATCGATAGGGACCAAAATTGACTGGCTTGAGGGACACTCGGACAGGATATGGTGCTGGTTATAGCGCCAGCAGTCCCTCAAAACGTATAGGAACACTCCATGCACCATGACCACTTCAGTGTCCTGCCCTCAGACCGTTCTCACCTTCACTCCTCCCTTAGCAGTGTGGAAGATTGATGTCAGTAGGGAATGATCAGGCTCTAGGGAGACTGTGGCCTTGGCTCTGGAACAGATGTACGTTTTAGCTTTAGGTTAGGCTTTTTTTTTTTTAAGTTTCGGAGGAGAGGGGAAGACCAGGATAGGGAGGGTTTAAACTTTTCTGGATTTTTATTTTCATTGCATGGCCTAGACTACACCCTCCTACCCACTTCCATTATTAGCAGCACAGCTATTCATACAGCATTCACACGCACCAACTGCTCATGCATTCAAATCTGCCTCATTCATTTGCAGGAGGTGTGTTGTGTTAATAAGTGGTTAATAAGTCACTAAACTAGTTATCTGCCAAACTCATATTGCAGAAATTACTCTAGAAAGCTGCAGACTATATATTCTGGTAACATTGTATTATATTATTACTATTATTTTAGATGCACTTTACAAAAGAGGACTATATACATTTTTCTTGAGTTTTTTTATTGAGAATTAGAAAAAAAAATGCACTAAATGTTTTGCCTCAACTTGCACTTCTTATTTAATTAGTTTTTATATTGTCACGCAGCGTTCATGGAAAAAAAACTGGTGGACATGATGTTTTTTGATCTACCTATAATAAAAATGAAATATCAATGAAATGTCTAGATAAAACATATTCATAGCTAAAAATGAAAATGTCCTAAAGTCCACGCAGTACCTGTAGGTGGTCTCAATGGTCGCTTATTCTGTAAATTCGGACAGTTAAGGGGATTCCATTAGATATTACAGAAAGAACAATTAAGATAATTTTAAATGAAGTGATCATGGATCTAAGCAAGCCTCGAAAATAGGTCTAAAAATTCAATTCAAAGAAAACAGCATCAAATAGTGTAAATTTCCCTTAAACAAAGTACTATTTACGCCCAATAAAAACTAGAAAAGCAGGTTTTTGGCTCCCACTGAAGTTAGTCTTAATCCTAACGCATTAAAGCTGACTGTCTCAAAATCTTCACTCCCATAACATTTCATTTTAACAGAAACATTTGTATACATCAGTGAAGTGGCTGATAGTATTGTCAGGTATAACACTGAAAGGGCTATTTCTAGGCTCTAAAATAATAATATATATATTTATTTTTTTACTTGTATAAATGGTTGTCTTGTGATATTGGCAAAATGGAAAGTGGCCATAAAATTGGGGCTTTAATAGCAGAACTGATTTCCTGTATGGGTTCACTCTGTGTCCAAGTCAGTATGGTAAATGTGAATTTGTAACGGGGGGTTGAATTAATACATGCATAACATTTTTTGCTGGATTTGCAGTGAGAGTACCAATATGGGTAAAAAAATCTCCCCCTATACTCAAATGCATATACTTTTGTGTTATGTAATAAGTTTGGAAGACAGTCTATTCTGTGTGTTTATAGCCCAAACTTTTGTCGGCTGTGCCAAATTAGTTAATGGACATAATGCATTGCATTGAGACCTTACGTCATTTAAGGCCAGACCGCAGAGCATTCGGTGCTATCCATTGTCAAAGACATGGAACGGATTTACAAAGGTGGTTCTATGTAAAAAACAGCCAGTGCAATAGCCTTGATTCTTTAAATCCTTTTTTCCAAAGGTACGTGACGATGGACGTGGCTCCATCAATATGAATTTTATCCTGAAACTCTTGTGAAATAAGAAGCAAAATTTTAGAAATTAAGTGTGGCTGCCACACCCTGTAACCAACTTTATTCTGAAGAAGACAAAAAACACTTCTAATCTAAAATATTTGACTTTCTTTAAACAAGCAATTGAAACATTTACAATCCAAAGGTTTTACAGAGGTCTGTAGAATTTAGAGAATTAAGAGACCTCCCATCAGGAGTCATGAGAACTTCATGAGTGAAAAATCAAGTGTAATGCATTTTTGCATATATGAAATAATCTTTAACACTATATCATTTTCAGCCAAACTTCGATAGCAATTTAGTTTGACACACTTATTTGCAGTGTTCATGAAACCTAGACAATTCTCATACAACTTATATAATTTTATAATTTCCCCCTCTAAAACACTTCTCTACCGTAAGCTAATTCAACATTTCTAAAAAGTCTCCTCATATTATTATTATATTATTTATATAGCGTCAGCAAATTCCATAGCACTGTACAATGTCATATCTTCATAAATACTATTTATTAACTCGACAAAACAACAAAACTTCTTACACATGGTGGACAAAACTTTTTTTCAAAAAGGGCCAGATTTGATTAAGTGAACATGCATGAGGGCCGATCGTTTTGCCTGACATTCTTTGAACCACTAAAATTAAATGCAAATTAACTATTTTATGCAAAGTTTATTGCAAACGGCATACTTTCATTTCATCTCTTCATTCTGTCCCCTCTTCATTCTGTCCCTCTTCATTCTGTCCCTCCAGGGAGAAGGAACCAAATCCCGCGACGTCGACGTCCAAGAGATCCCGCGACGTCCAAGAGATCGTGAGAACACAAACGGAGGACGAGCAGTGACTGCATGTCTGTCTGCGTTTTCGCGATCTCTTGGCCCCCAGTGAATCCTAGCGCGCTGCTCAGGACAGCGGCGTTCAAAGATCCAGGGATCCTGAGGGGCGCTAGATTAGCCAAATTACCTGTGAAGCCGTATTAAACTGGAACGCGGGCCACAATTGGCTCGCGGGCCGAATTTTGGACATGACTGTCATAACAACTGGCTGACCTTTCTGTAGAACATTGCACATTGTTGCCACTTACTATGACTACAATTAATCCTAAATGATTCTTGTTATAGGATATCCCTACCGTAACTCCATCTAGATTCTAAAGATGTGGACAAAAGGTATATATGTATAAATGTCCAGGAAATAAAAGAGAAAGAGAATCCTAACCTCTCTTACTAAAGAAGATTGTATTTCAGAAGTGAGCAGGTCCATGAAAGCATAATGTGAACATAATCAACACTTTCATTCAACTTAATTTATACATTTCTCTAGGCAATATAGCAATGTTCCAAGCACTTGTTTACAACATAATCTCAGTACTTGGTAGATAGAAAGGTTACTGGAGTCCAAACTCTACACACACAGTTATTAGGGGGAGCAGCGATGCATAGTCTGACTTGGTGATTCATAGTATCCATTGTTCATTTCAAATGTAAATTCATTTCTCACCTGTTCATATTAGGACTTGACACAAATATAGACTGCTCTTTTACATTTATTATATTTAAATTGCTTAAAATTAGGCTCTTTATAGTGCAACTTTCATAGAATGCCAGTATAAAAATAAGAAAACATACAAACAAAAATATGGTCACAACAACAGTATAATCCACACTTTACAAATGTTTAGCTAAACAATACTCTCCTCGGTATGGGAAAAGGAAAAGAACATCCCCTAATGGAAAAAAGGGGCATTCCATTATGGGTGCAGGGAAAAGAGTATCACCATGTAGGAAAAGGGAAGAGAGTATCCCCATATGGGAAAAGGAAATAAGGCATTCCCTTATATGTGCAAGGAAGAGTGTATCCCCATATAGGAAAAGGGAAGAAGATATCCCCATATGTGAAAAAGAAAAAGGGTTTTCTAATATGGGAAAAGGGAAGAGAGCATCCCAACATGGGAAAAGGAAAGAGAGTATACCCATATGGGAAAAGGGAAGAGAGCCTCCCAACATGGGAAAAGGAAAAAAAAGTATACCCAAAAGGGAAAAGGAAAAAGGGAGTATACCTATATGTGAAAAGGATTGAGAGTATACCCATATGGAAAAAGGAAAAAAAGAGTATACCCATATGGGAAAAGGGGAAAAAAAGAGTATACACATATAGGAAAAGGAAAAAAGATTATACCTATATGGGAAAAGGAAAAAGAATACACCCATATGGGAAAAGGAAAAAAAGAGTATACCCATATGGGAAAAGGAGAAAAAGAGTATACCTACATGTGAAAATGAATGAGAGTATCCTCATATGGGAAAAGGGAACTCAGCTTCCTGATGTAGAGAGAAGAGGGGATTGCTTCCCAGTGAGTGATATAAAGAAACTATTTTTTGGATTTATGTTAGCTTTTGAGCTATAAAGGAGGAGTAGTGGGTAGCCCATCCAGCAAGTGTTATCAGTTTTAGTTTTGAGGACACATAGGGGGTGTATTTACACATCTATTTTTAGTCCAATATAATGCAGCTTCTGGAAAAGAGGGGCCTTAGGATAGAAAAGCGGGACAGAGAGAGTTGGGCAAAAAATAGGAACTGTCCCTCCTTAACAGGGTCATTTTGGAAGCCCTTTTTCTGAAAATTACTTTAGTTTTTCACAAACTCTACATGGCAATGAACAAATTAAACAAAAACAAAGGATAAAGGGACATTTCCAAATTACTTGGTGGGAATGCAGCTCCAGGAATAAATCACCGCATTTACACAGTAGCTGCAGTGCAAAAACAAGGGAGAGCAAATTGGGGAATAAAAAAAAAAAAATTGGCACAGTTTCATAGAATTATTTGTCATTTGAAAGGAACAATCTCCCTTTTTCATCTTCATAGGGGAGATGAAGTGGCACAATGCCAAGTGTGGCGGAACCAACCTCGCCACTATGTTCTGGAAAAGCCTGGATGCTCGCCTGCTGCCTCTGGACTATGGCCCCATGTTAAAAGCTTGTATTTTCCCCTGCAGAAAGGCTTGTTCGTGCCTTTCTGCCTGGGTGTTCGGTAGATTGAATCTACCAAACCAACTCACGAATGAACGGACCACCTAAGGAGTGTGCCAGTGATTTACCTCCCATAAGCTGCGGTTAACCGCAGCTTAATGGATGAACGCTGGGTGGCAGCTGTTTGTATAGCCGAACACGTGGCAGCGGCCATCTAAAACTCCCGAATGGCCAGTGGTGTTCAGCTCCAAACCTGTGGAACTCAAAAAGGACAGTTAAACACACGAACACCACTGACCCGCCGACCTCCCTTCTCCTACCTTCAGTAGTTGAGCCGAACGCCGGTCTATTCGGTATTTTAATGTCTGAACAGTGTTACCCCAGATAGCTATGCCATGGAGCCTATTCGTATACCGAAAGACTATGTGAAAGACTTTGGCTCCATGGCGATTGAACTGTATGTATGTGATCTGAGCGCCATTCGGTAATAATGTGCGCTCAGATATAAGCTATCCAGGGATAGGTTGAATGTACCTGTTTTATGCAATGGCTGCACAGTTATATATTTTTATGTCTTTTTACTGCCATGTGGTTAATGGAATTTTGCCTCTGTCCTTGGAGATAATTGGATTACTTCCCATTTATCTCCAGGATAGAGGGGAGGGATTGTAATGTACTATGGGAGTGTTTTAATCCTGTATGCCTGTGATTGGTCATTTTACCATTTGTGTCCCAGTCTTCCATCTGGTCCCCTAGGGACCTGCATAAATACCGGACAGGTAGCCCCATTAAATCAGATCACTGCTTGACCCTCAACAAGGAGCCTTGTCTCGTTCTTGGGGGATTTACTGTATGCTGCTTCAGATCGATTGCCAGGAGAGTAAACTGTTCGTATGGTTTTTCCTGTTCGCCTGTTTGCAGTATTCGTATGGTTCTAATTTGGGAGTTTGAAGCATTCGTGTGGTTCCGGTTCGGGAGTTTGAAGCATTTGTGTGTTTCCAGTTCGGGAGATTGGTGTTCTGCAGTAGCTGCCTGTATATCTAGAAGGGAATATCCTCTAAACAGCATTTTACCCCTTTTATGCCTGGGGGTGCCGTTACACCAAGAGACTGAAGTAACAATCCTTACAAGTCGAGGAGATTTGGGAAGGGAGGTGGGACAGAAAGGCATGCGAGAGAGAGGAATGTAATATCGAAATCAGAAAACATCAATATATTTTATGCCAGAAAAGAAGAGCATTTTCTTTTGTAACTTATTTTTTTACATTTTCCTAGTTTAGCAACTTTTACACTTAGTGTCAATCAAATGCATTAACTCCCAGGACAATAATGGTGACCATATTCTTCTCTAAATTTGATTACCCATCACTTATGTTATATCTGATATATTGCATTTCTTTTGGTCAAAGATTCTTAACCTTTTCTTCACAGAGGGCCAAACTACGTACATGGATTTTGCTTGGAGGCCAATTTCACAAATGGAAAATCACCTTCATGACACATTCTTCAATCGTAATAGAATAATAATAGAGCAATAATAATCACTAGCCTTTTCCAAACACTGGGAACCCTATAAAATAGCATGGGACTCAAATTTGTCTCCTGTCGAAGCGGTTAAGAAACTGCTTTACTTTATAATTTATTGAGCTTTTTTGGTTTGTTTTGTATTCGTGTGAAGCAATATTGGATACCTAATTGCAGCTCAGGTAACTGGAATATCTCATTTTTAGATACCCAACCCCATATTTAAATACATACCAAGGTAAAAAAATAATAATATGATTTTAACAAGCAATATTAACAAGCAATAATTTACAGTAAACAAGTAAAAAAAGATAAACATTAACACATGTAAAAAAGGTTAGCCATTGAAGGCTTAGTTAATTACAAAAATATTTGTGGCTGGTAGAATCAGGAATCTGATAACAATATTAACTAATATCGAATGTGTGTAGTGTATGTTATGATACTCAGTGTTTTGTGTAAATACACATTGTTCACAAATCATACAATAAAAATAACTACTCAAAGCACAGGGAGGTTGGGGGAAGGGGTAAAGGTTACAAAAAGCTCAGTGTTTATATTACTGAATACAATTCTTGGCAGATTTCACTGGAGAGATTCTAGTTTGTAATTAATCTGTTAAATAATCTGTGACTTATAAACAACATTAAGTGGATGGCATCCAGCTACTTCCAATGCTGGTGCACACTAGATACGTGAATGTTATTTACTACAGGTCTAATGAAAAAAAGTTAGATGACAACACATTTGACAAGAGAAATAAACTCCAAGCCTTAAACTACGTGACAAAGATTTGTTCCACATTACGTGCAGCTCAATCTGACCGTTATTATGTAAAATGATGGGAATAAAACAAATCCCAACACAGAGCAAGACAACATTCAAGTCATCTCTAGTTGCAATCTCCCATAACTTGAGGCTCCAGGTTTTAATGGGCCAATACCGAGAGAGAGTGTTTGTGTAAAATATATGAGGATATCCTACTTCCTTAACATCCTTGTTCAGTTCCTTCTTTAGTGACATCCATTCAAATCCCTTCTACAACCCCCCACTAGAAAGGCTTGGAACTCAAATCCCTTTCAAACCAAAAGCTATAGAAAATCTTTTTATTTTCTGTTTTTATTTCATTATTACAAAACACATTTTGCTCTTTTACTTTTTGTGAAATTGGTCATTCTGAAATCACTGCAAGCAGTGAGAAAATAGATATATATTTTTTTAAAGCACGAATTGCGTAATTTTAGGACTTGTAGCTTTCCTAATTTTAAAATGGTTGTCACTTGGAAGGTAAATTAGTAAGGGTAGAATCGGCCAAAACATGCAGGAGCATTCACTAAAAACTATCTACAGAGCATGCATGTTGACATTTACGCTTTTTAATTAAATGATTAACAATTGTGTGTTTCAGAAAGCACGGTAAAACTCAATTTATATACACATTTAGATAGACAAAAACATAACTAGGAGAAATGAACAAAATTACAAAAATATCGATTTTTACTTAAATTGGAACATTTAAGTCATTTCAGTTGTGCTTAATGTATACTCATTATTAATCCATTTATTTACAGTAACAATATTAATAGCTGGTTCCGAAGAAATACTGTAGGTGTAATACAGTTGAATAAGTGCAAATGCACATAGAATTAATTATTGCAAATGAACAAACATACAAACCGCACTGTCTAGGTTAATGGATACAATCAAACATCCAATTGTATACTTCTGGCTGGATCATAAGACAGAGTAGATCCTACTTTTTAGCACCGTTAATCTTCATAAAGATTTTATTTTCATGAAATAGTCAGAAACAATATTGCGGTGACAGAGTCACTTTAATACACATTAATTTTGTGCAGGTTCCTGGAATTCTTCCCAATTTTGATTTAATTATTGGATGTTTGATTGTATCCATTAACCTAGACAGTGCGGTTTGTATGTTTGTTCATTTGCAATAATTAATTCTATGTGCATTTGCACTAATTCAGCTGTATAACACCTACCATATTTCTTCAGAACCAGCTATTAATATGTCACCTTTGTGGGTCTATTTAAAATATGTGAAGACCCCTAAAGGTGATATGGCCTCTTTAAATGTAGCTAACCTGGTAACATGGCCTGGCCTGATATGCATGTTACAGCTGGGACAGTGGAGACAGTGGTGGTGGGGGATGTGAATAAATATAATTTTGTTGTTACATTTGATATGAGCTTTCTGACAAAAAAAAATAATTAATCGATATCCGATATCCCTTGAAGGAATTGATGCAGTGCACATGGGGAGTACACTCAGCAGAGTGGACAACTCCTTATTAATGGTTCCTGTCTCCACAGTAAAAATAATTCAGCAGTTTGGTATCCAAAAGAACGGCAGTACAGAAATTGATTACTTTTAACTGACTGGCTTATCAATCAAATCTGGCATGTTGAGAGCCAATGGTCTCGGTTAATCTCCAATTTTTCTGAATATAAATTTGTGGTTTTCATCCTAGCATTTTATATCTAAAGCACTTTTCAGAGTATGGATGACGTGAACTACAGGCCTACAAATCAGATTAAATGCTTTAAGTATATACTTTAAAAAATAGACATGTCATTAACATAGGACTTATCAATATCTGTCTACGTTTGATCTAGTGAGATTTAGTTTTACGGAACAAGGAGAACGTTTTAATAAATTCCTTGGTCAGTCCTAAGGAACAATTCACAGCTTTCCACAAGGCATTCCAGATACTAAGCAACAGCCATCTGAATTCTGTGTCGGCAACCTTTGAAAGAGGCCGTTCCAGTCTTAGTACATGAGTTAAGAGTGATGAACAGGTTTGTTAAATGCCAATGCACAATGTTAGTGTTCTAGATGCTAAATGAGATAAAACAACAAAATAAAACGTCTGTAGAGATAAATTATTGCAGAAATATAACCGCAGAGCCATTATTTATATATTTAAATTTAAAAAAAAAATTTTTTTTACTAATTCAACGTATGATCAACTGGTTCAGCTGCATGTCCAGTCACGTCTACCCACAATCAGTGGAAATTGATTAAATAAATAAATAAATAATAATAATAATAATAATACATTCCCAAGACATCTTATTAGGAGTATTGCATTTAGTGTTTCCTCAACTTCATCTTTATTTCCCTTTTCCTTTATTGGTTAGTGAGATAAAATGCCTGTCACATCAAATTTCAGTTCCAAAAGGTTACATTACCTCATATTCTATGGACATCTTTTGCAACTAAAAAAGTTAAAAAGAGTTACTCCTAGCACTATGACTTCATTGTTTTGAAGTGTTCATGGTTGTTATGGTACCCAGATGTCCCTGGAGCTTTCTTACCGGCAGGGGTAGAAAGCACGTCGTGCCTCTAATTGCCTTAGAGTGGAGAAAAAAAAAAAAATAAGCAGTGCCCCTGCCAAGGATTAGTCTCATATTTTTCTCCACTCTACGCCAATCAGCAGTCCATGCTTCCTGAAACTGCACTGGACAAAAGATAAAACCGAATGCTGCTGGGGACAGATCAGGTGCTGAAGAGCAACCTTTAGGGTTAACCCATTCAATAGAGGTTTAATCCCTTCTGGTAAGAATGCGCCAGGGATCTCTGGGCACCATAACAACTTAATTTTGATGAAGTTATTATGGTGCCCATACAGTTCCTTTAAGAGGATTACCACAAATATCAGAACGATGCAACATTGTCAAGGCAGTATTATTAAGTTCCGTAGATCCTGGGTATGGTGTATAAATATGTATGTCTGCATCTAATTTGTTTAGCATGATAAGTGTGTCTCATTACTGACAGAACTAACCGATCACAGGAATCATGGTCATGTGAATCCAAGGTACACTGACAGAAAAGGTAGAGTAGATGGAGGAAGAAAGGAAACGGTAAGCAGAAATTAAAGGGAATAAAGAAAAGGAAATGAGGCTTAATGCAGGCGAGATAAGAGCAAGGACGTACATATTGAGAAAGAAAGTTAGGCAACGGTGATTAACAGACAGAACGAAGAGTAGAATGTACCAAACATCAACACTCACAAAAAGCTATGCAACACATAGATACATTGTATAGGGCTACGGAATGTGATGGCGCTATATAAATAATAAAATAATAATAATAATAAAATAATAATACACCTAGGAATATAATGAAGCTACATTACTGAAAAGAAAAACAACCAGAATTTGAGAATATAAATGTTTACTATAAGCAAAAATACATAAATAACTAGACTTTAACAGTTGTTTTTCAGTGTTTTCCAGCTCAAGTGTAATTTTTTACAAAATCATCTTGAATTCTCTAAAGCACACAGGAAATGCAGAGCTGAGATAACAAACATCTGTTTATATTAGAAAAAGTACTACAGATCCCCCATGCACAATGCTTGCTGAATCCATCCTGAATGAGGCCATAAGGACTATGCTCTATGTTAGTGGGATCATAAAACAATCAACACCGGTCACGTCTACACTGAAGATGATCAAAACTTGCATTAGCTCAGACCGATTTCAAATATGTAAAAATATTGTACTCCAAAATTTCTAATGGCTTTTGTCATATGTAATATATAAAATGGAAAACAAAACACTTTCAATGGCAACTTATACACAAAATGTCCTACATCCAACACTACGGGATCACAGATAATATTGTGCCGCTTATCCAAGTTCTTAAGCTAACTTCAGCAACAGGTCAATTAATCTGCTTTCGGAAGAGAAAAAAAACGTGAGTATTCTTTACATTGAATAGTGGTGAATGGACAACCATTAAGGACAAAACGGAGGTACTGAAAAAATATAGCAAAATATATGTAGGTTGTAGTAGCACAACATTATATGAGTAAATTTACTAAACAATAAAAATGTCGAGGAGTAAAAAAAATTCAAGGACATTGATGAAACCTAAAACTGATATTAGTTGGAATGTTCAACTCATTGTGAATCAATCCATAATGTTTAAATGAAATAGGTGACCAAATATACTATTTACTAATGAGTAAGCAGTTGTGTGGTACTTGGGAGGACTGAGGTAAAGCTATCATGAACATGCACTGCCTACGGAATGTACTGTAATAGTTACTATTTTTTAACTACTAACATCAACATGTTTCGCAATAGCCAGAAAAAAAAATGGCTGAGACAGGTATTCACAAAAACTGTGAAACTGAAATCGACTGTGTGTAGCAGCAAACACAAAAACAACAAAGAGAGAAATGTTAATAATTTAAAGTATAATTTAATAGGCCTGTGGTTTCAAAGTCAATTAAAATAGCTAAAAAAAAAAAAAAAGGATGGACAAAAGTGCTGAGAATGAAGCCTAAAATTGTCCATATTAAGCAAGGCCACAAAAAATATACTGGATTAATTCTGTGATTTTGCTATCATTTACAATAATGCCTTGTGACTTAATAAATATATTTAAAAAATTTACTAGAAATCAATCTGCTATTGAACTTTCTATATAGTTCATCATTTTAAGAAAATAATAAATCTTTAAAGACAGATAATCCAATTTTTGAAACTGAGTTCAGCGAAACAGGATATGATCAAATTTCAGAAACAAAATTCCATAGAATTACGCCAGTTAATGAATCCAAAAGTGCATAATCTTGAACACAACACAAAAAAAAAAATAGCATTTTCGCTTTTATACTAAAACGCAAAGAGTTTCATTCACTAAACACAAAGAGTAATGGAAATCAAACTGCAAAAGTTAGATGAAAAACAGATTTTTATGAAAAATGCTTCAAATCAGCCATAGTGACAGCTTGGATATTCTGGGTTTAATAAATTACTTTGACATAAAGGGAACACTTAAAATTAACACACCCGAGCGAAGCAAATTTGAGAATATTTTTTTTTATCTCCCCATAGTATGGGGGCCATACTATAGACAAAAAGGCAACATTTGCTAGTGTGGTGTTTATAGCTATTCAAGTACCTCCACTTGGCAAATAGACTTTTTTTCACTATGGCAAACAAAGAAGAATTGTTACTTCCCAGGATTTAATATTATACAAATCCTATAGGCATTTGGAGCAGGAATGTGAAATGTGTTGGCGGGGAACTATCAGAGAGCTAGAATGGTTGGTGTCATGTTGATGTTAACATGTTTGGGTTCTGGTTAGCTCAATATTTTCTCTGGTACGGTATGTGAGCCATGGCTTGAGAAAGATACAGAAGGTATTGAAATGTCCTTTTCAGGTTGGGTGACACATACACCACCATAAGACAACACTTCCGTGTGCTGAGAATTACGTCAATTAGTAGTGAGTTTTTTGCAGAACAGGGACCTGGTCCTGCAGCACTAGCCCTAACATTTGTTATACCTTGGAGTGCCATATACCATTACTCTGTTACAGTAGATTGTCATATCGGCTTTGACAACCACTCAATATTGCTAGACTTACTTGGTGTTACACAAGGTATGTGGCGTTTCTCTGACTGCAGACTATATAATTGAAAACTCTCAATAAACATTAATTTTTTTTAAAAAATGTGTATTTGTGAGTTGTGAAAAATAAAATTAAATAGATATCTACACCTCTATATTACTTCCCCGTCAGTCATTATTATGGGGCCTGGCCTTTGTACCTGACAGCACAGAGAGAACATACAGAGAAGAGGAGAAATTAAACAATGATCCTATTACTCCTTTGCAATATGTGTCTGAACTCAATTGGATTGTGATGTAATTTGCTAAATCTTTCATGTACAAGAAAATGAAGAAAGTTTAACACAAATTATAGGTAACTTTCAATGGCTTATTCAATTGTGAAATTTCCAGGTAAGCGGTAGTTCCCCTCTAAGCAATAACCAAATTATTAAATATGAAATGTCATTTTGTAATAAAGAGTAGCACACCATGTCCAGTCCAGCCATATGTGTTATGAGGAAAGCCAGTGATTTACATCGTCAAAATGTGTGCGGTATGCTGGCCTAATTGCTGCCAAATGCAGTTCATAGATTTGGTTTTAATTGGAATAATTGTAAAACAATTTCTAAATATGTATCCAGTTTTTCTGAACAGACAATATTGAACTAATTTCATTTTAAGGTTTTCCAGTTTCAAATATCCAGAGGTGAAAGTATAATTATATAAACAACTAATAATAATTATAAAAATAATAATAATAATTATTATTATATTAATGGAAGCCTTGGGTATAGTGATACTTTGTGCCTTTGTGTGACTGGCGTGTGTAGGGAAAATATTAAAGTCATAAATAAGGCAATATAATCTAAACACTGCCTAAAAGCAGACTAGTTACTTGCTCTTATAACAAACGCCAGGACCCTTAAAGACAAACCTAAGGGTTTCTTAGCTGTTCTAAGACTGTTTATGTACAAAGGCCAAATGCCTGGAGTGGAATGCTCACATGGGAACTTCGGCTATTTACCCTCACACATTCTTAAACCTTGCCACACAGCTGACAGCTATTTTCCCCAATCAGACTTCAATGGGTCAGTCCTACTGAGGGTCATTTAAAGAATGTCGGAGGGCCCAGTTATATAGTATTGAAGGAGGCTCCATGTCTGTTGGCTACAATAGGTAGAACTTCAATTATGCATCTTAATGAGAAATGTCATTTTGTAATTTATTAACCAATTATTTAAGACAGCTTATTTTATTTGAAAAATAAATAGAAAAATAAAATGAAAAAAAAAACATTTTTTTTAAAGTGACAGCAATTTAAATTTAAAGCCATAGATTGTAGGTTATAGAAACTGATAAAAAGGAACACTCCAAATACCATAACCACTACAACAGGCCCACAAGAGCATGACCATGGATTTGGCACATGCTTCTAGGGAAGGGCAGAAGAGAAAGAGCCCATAATGCCCAAAATCTTATTTTGGAAGAACAATCCCTTCTACTTCTCCGATTGGCAAAGACACAGTAGGTCACTGCAGGACACTTGTTAAAAGGATTCTAAATTCTGTAATCCAAGAAAACAATTTTAGGAGGACAAATGTCCTTTCAGCGAATTCACCTGCTTGTTGAATATTTCATTCCAAAATCAGGGACATTAAACTGGCGCTAGATTCCTATTGAGAAACTTCTGAGTATGTTGAAATATCACTGAAATGCAATTAAATTCATGAGACAAAGTGAAAATTTCGTTAATGCATGTAGCACAGGACTGTTGGCAAATTGCAGAAATGGATGGAGCTTTCACACACATAATGCTATTTTCCGTCATGCACTCTCCATCTTATTGCGCAACCAATAGATTATCTATGGAATATTCATTGGAACAGCCGTAGACCCAATGGACTACGCAGGCTTTTTGTTGTTCTAGGCTGGTCAAGGGTATGCGTCCCCTCTGCCCTCACACAAATATTAACCAGCCATTCCCCAAGCACCACCATTATTTTTACATATATAAATCAAAATACATACACAGCACGCAGCAGAACTATATTTTATTAAGTAACCAGCTGCCTAAAGAAACAGCTGTAAAGGAAAAAAGATCCTTATTTGCTTTGCCACGCTGAACGCTGTTTTGTACCATCAAACATGTTGAGATTGTTGAGAAACATGTTGGGATCATGTTAGTGATGGCAGCTCCAGACAGATTAGGTTTTCTGGTGCTGAAGATAATGAAGAACAAAATGGCACCAAGAAGTGACAAGTTCATAGAAGTAGATCTACTTTTTCCCCAACAATGCAAAAAATTAAAATTCCTCAAACGTGACAATGACACTTTAATAAGGAGTTGATAGTTGCTTTTAAAACTACATCCACTCTCCTGAAAAGGCTTTCCACTAGATGTTGGAAGACTCCAGCAGGGATTTGATTCCAAAAGCATTAATGAGGTGTTGAGCTTAGGATATTTTGCACTGCAGTCAAGATTCCCACACAGGACCCCAAATAAACCAATTATGAAAATTGTTTTGTGAATAGGTGGCATGGTAATGATGTTCTTTCACACACAACACTGGGAACACAGATACATCTACATTGCAATTGTATGATTTACTACAATAATGCCCTCCATTGGAAGTAGTGTAGCTCAACCACAACCAAAAAAACAAACAAAAATATGTCAGATCAGAACTTGGCATTATGACGCCAGGTAAATCGCGTTAACTTAGCAACCATCAAACGAGCTGCCAGATGGTGCACAGTGATTCATCACTCCAGAGAAAGCTTTTTCCACTCTTCCACGGTCCAGTGGAGATGACCTTTATGTCACTCCACATAACGATTGCCTTGTGCATGTTGATCTTAGGTTTGTGTGCAAATGCTCAGTAATTAAAACTGATTTCATAAAGCTTCCGGTGAGCAGCAATTCTGCTGACAATGCTTCCAGAGACAGCTTGGAACTCAACAGTGAGAATTTCTAAAGACAACCAATGTGCATTCACTGGCCCAGTAGTCACTTGCTGGCTCCTAGATGAACACTTGCATTTGACCAGAGCTGAACTAGCAGGGATGAAATCTGACTAAATTGACTTGTTGGAAAAATTGTGTTTTATTAAAGAGCTATGATTAAATGGTATCTTTCGCTGTAGCTATAACTTATGCTCTTTTGAAATACCATAAAATGTATAGATTTGGAGAAAAAAAATCTATTTAAAAATTGGTCTCTCTCCCAAGTGCCAGTCAATTCTTCAGCCTACAATCTATGCCCAAGAGTGGTCCTTCTACACCACACACACAGAAACCACAGCGCGTGCATGGTGGTTGCTATGGTAACACACTAGCTGATGCTGATAACCCTGGCTAAGGAGCACAGGAATGGAATGACTTAAAGGACCACTATAGTGCCAGGAAAACATACTCGTTTTCCTGGCACTATAGTGCCCTGAGGGTGCCCCCACCCTCAGGGACCCCCTCCCGCCCGGCTCTGGAAGGGGAAAGGGGTAAAAACTTACCTTTTTCCAGCGCTGGGCGGAGAGCTCTCCTCCTCCTCTCCGCCTCCGGCCCCGCCGGCTGAATGCGCACGCGCGGCAAGAGCTGCGCGCGCATTCAGCCGGTCACATAGGAAAGCATTTACAATGCTTTCCTATGGACGCTGGCGTGCTCTCACTGTGAAAATCACAGTGAGAAGCACGCAAGCGCCTCTAGTGGCTGTCAATGAGACAGCCACTAGAGGATTAGGGGGAAGGCTTAACCCATTCATAAACATAGCAGTTTCTCTGAAACTGCTATGTTTATGAAAAAATGGGTTAACCCTAGAAGGACCTGGCACCCAGACCACTTCATTAAGCTGAAGTGGTCTGGGTGCCTAGAGTGGTCCTTTAAGTCACTCGGCTCAGGCACCGGCACGCTGGCAATGAAGCCAGTGTGTCAGCGTCACAGAGGAAGACGACCCCAAGCATGGGAAATGAAAGATAACTGCATGCGGAGCGAAGGGTGGACTAGAGGTGGGTGTGACAAAAGAGTGACGCCCACAAAGCTTACAACATGGCGGCGCTGAAACTGAGGTAACGTGAGTATATCTTAAAACTTTGCATTGAACGCATCATGTACCTCTGTGATATATGATGTATTCAATGTGTTTTCGGCAGATTTAGGTTAAGTTGAAAATCACATGACAGCTTTACTTTAAAGTCCCAAATATATGCAGCATGATCTGTCCTACTGCCAATGTTTGTCTAAGGAGACTGCATTGAATTCATATACTGGACAGCAACTGTAGTGCCTAATATAGCCAAAAACCAGTAACCATGTGGTATATTAAAAAAAAAAAAAAAGAATGTATGCTCTGTATAAGACCGTTAGTAATTGTTTTGTAACTTACAAGTTCCCCTTTTTTATTAATACCAGCTGAAACACCTATATAACTGGCTAGTAACAGAGTAGCTACCAGGTGTAACGTTAAACAGGCAATGTTGCTGAAAGCGTTTAGCCAGTAACGGATTGGTTAGTCTCCTAAAGTGCAGACTGTTAATGTCGATGACTGTATCTGTCCATTAACGGAGTAGTTTTTGTTCCTAAAGTGCAGACTGCTAACAGTGCTGAATGTGTGAATAATGGAGAAGCAAGTGTTCCTAAAATGTATACAGTACAGCTGAAAGTGTCTGGCCTATAGTATAGAATAGCAATGTTGCTGGATGTGTCTGACTAGTAAGAAGAGGCTAGTGATCTCTAAAGAATAGACTGGTTATATTGTGGACTATGTCTGAATAGTAAAAAGAGGTAAGTGATCTCTACAGAATAGACTGGTAATGTTGATGGATGTGTCTGACTAGTAAAAAGAGGTAAGTGATCTCTAGAGAATGTCTGGTTATATTGTGGACTGTGTCTGATTAGTAAGAAACGGTTAGTGATCTCTAGAGAATAGACTGGTTATATTGTGGACTGTGTCTGACTAGTAACAAAGAGGTTAGTGATCTTTAGAGAATAGACATTAGTGATCTTTAGAGAATATTGTGTCCTGTGTCTGACTAGTAAGAAACGGTTAGTGATCTTTAGAGAACAGACTTGTTATATTGTGGACTGTGTCTGACTAGTAAGTAGAGGTTAGTGATCTCTAGAGAATAGACTGGTTATATTGTGGACTGTGTCTGATTAGTAAGAAACGGTTAGTGATCTCTAGAGAATAGACTGGTTATATTGTGGACTGTGTCTGACTAGTAACAAAGAGGTTAGTGATCTTTAGAGAATATTGTGTCCTGTGTCTGACTAGTAAGAAACGGTTAGTGATCTTTAGAGAACAGACTTGTTATATTGTGGACTGTGTCTGACTAGTAAGTAGAGGTTAGTGATTTCTAAAGAATAAACTGGTTATGTTGCTGGATGTGGCTGACCAGTAATGAAGAGGTTTTTTGCTCCTACAGTGTAGACTTGTAAAGTTGCTTAATATGTCTGGCGAGTAACAAGGTTTACCGCACCCACCCAGCTTCAAATGAACACACAGGATTAACACCGAGAAGGCAGCATCCCGCAGTCTTTTACACACAAACTCACATGGCGTTTTTTTATTTCCAGAAAATGTATGTTTATTTATTTGCATTATCCATAGCTAGGTCAGTATGAAATAATTCATCAGAAAGATTCCTTTGTTACCTTAACTGTTCGCCAATGATCAGAATCTCTGTCATCTGCTCCAGTTCATTCGCTTTCTTCAGCACTGACATGCTAATTGTCTCCATTCCTAAAATCAGACCAAACAAAACGCGGATTAAAACACTCCTCACAACCCTCATTCGCACCACTTTAAATAATCACCGAAACCAACTCATCTTTAATGTAACACCGAGAATATTTTAGAAAAAAAAATGACTAATTACAATAATCCATGTATTATTCAATTTTCAAGGGGCACCATATTCAAAAAAAGTTCTCACCACAAAATGAGTACAGTACCAACCCAAAAATGATCAATACACTCATTTCAACGACCATTATTTATAGTCCAGCAATAAAAGTGTCACACAAATCATTTGATATAACCAACATCTATAAATCCAGGAGCTGTGTGCTATAGGGTCCTGTGGTTGGCTGGTAATAGGCGTTGCCGTTCAGGCTATACCATATCCTTACATATTAAAAAGTATACATTTAGATGTCCATCCTATCACACACAGCCATACTCTCCTGCAGGGCTTTGTTAGAAGTCAATTCATAGCAGCATTGCAACTAATTCGCTAAAAAGATATATCCTACAGAATAAAATTGTGATCTTATAATTCCAAGCAATTACAAAACATACACAAAGAAAGACAGTTGTGCTGCTGTCCATGTACAAATAAAACTATACCAAATACGTACCTGGAGATAATTATTGATCCTTGATGTTAGACTGTAAAATGTGTCAATGCTCAAATGATTTCTAGAGATTTCTGGCAATCTGGTTCATAACAGAGTTTAAGGAGAAATCTTCCAGGAAGAGAGGGGCAGAGTAAATGCACATTGAGCAGAGACAGGAGAACTGTGATTAAATGCCCTGTGTGCACAAAGAGCCTTGCAGTGCTCTTGCTCAGGGCTATATGATGTCAGCTGCCAAGGACTGAACTTTGAGATTTGCCAAACACTAGTGTGTGATGGAACAAGACAGATGTGAGCGTTCTTGAAAATGTAAACACATGCAAGGCTAATGAAAAGAGAGAGAAGGAAAGAAAGAGAAATAAAGAAAGCTCACTTCCTCCAGGAGATGGCTCTGGTGACCCTCTTGTCACTTTCCCACTAGTGATGATACTGTTGTAGCTTTGTTGTGGTTTTAATAAATCTCACAGCCAGTGAGGGAGCCTTGCAGGTGCTGACAGAAATGGTTACTAAGTTGCAATAGTGAGAATTGCTCACCAGCTGGTGCAGATGCAGGTCTCCTTGGGTGCTGCAGAGAGGGACTGTCTGTGCTTTCTGTCTGCTGGCTGGCTGGCTCTCATTGAGCAGGATACAATGTCACAAGGTGGGGGATGGATACAATGTATAGCAGCTCCCAGTAGAACGTGTCTCTCTCAATACACAGTCAATGAAATTCCGTTTTTTTTGTGGGCTAGGCTGGGACACTACCCCTCCTCCCTCTGCCAGAGCTGGGGACCAGCAGGGAGGGGGGGAGGGAGAGCCTGAGAACCTACGGTGGCTGGGAAGGCACAAAGTTCGACACATCTAAACACAGACACGTTTTCTGTCACTCTGAGGTGACATTGGAGACACTTTAAAACACAAATACTTAGGTATTATGATAATGTTAGGTTACAGAAAGCACCTCAAATAATCCCTACAATTTATTTATAATAGGACAGTATAGAATACTGCACAATCAGGGAAAATCAATGCAAACTGGAGGAAAAGGTGATTTAGTTTTAAATTATAATTTTATTATAATAAAAAAAAACACAGGCATTTGTCCTTTATGCCAATGGATTCTGTTAAATTATTGGTGCTTACTATCCCGTTTGTACAGCGCTGCGGAATCTGATGGCGCTATATAAATAATAAAATAATAATAATAATAATATATCCGCCTACCATAGATTGTAAGCTCACTTGTACAGGACCTTCCTCACCTCTTTCTCTAGTTGCAGAAGGCTGTGGAATGTGTTGGCGCTATGTAAATACTAATAATATTGTTGATGAAAGTTAATTAACTCGGTCTGTATTAATACAATAGGACCAAACGATTGAAGTTGTCTACTTCTGACTAGCTGGATTAGCCAAGACCTGTAGGTCTAGTCACCAATTGCTGGAACCAATAGTTTGATAAGTAAAACCCATTTGGCCTAGGTCAGCCTTTGCATCAACACAAGGTGCAAACTGGGTGAGGACACAATTGCACCTCTTTTCGAGCGGGTTAACGCTAGGGAGTTTTGATATATTTGGATCACAGAAATGACCATGATTGATATTTTCCGTTTTGCAACTAATATGCCGCCCCCCCCACGACCATATTGATGAGTCATTGGACGACTGAGCGAGAAATGTTTGTGTCCTGAGCTGCTGCTCACACATCATTTCCCCAACGCATACTCGATATGGAGTTCAGAGTTTAGACAACCTATAATACTAACGCTGGAAAGCCAGACATTCGTAAGCAGGAGCTTCCATGAGCTCTCCTTAGTCCTAAACTTCCTGCCCACTGCCGTTAGTACACCAACAAAACCATTCAAAAACAGTTTGCCTTCTCACAGTGGGTAAGCAGTGGGGCACTCCCAGTACTGTTACAATTACAGCAAGCTGCAGTGCTTATGGTGCTTGGAATGTTACTTTAATAAGTTGTGTTTCATTTGATATTTTTAGTAGCAGAAATTATATGTTCAATTTGGCCATATCAGTTTTAGAATTAATTTCTTCCGGTCCTTTTGATTTGGTCTTAATTGTAGGTCATAACAAATAACAGAAAGACAAAGCACTATATCACTGTGTACAGGTGTATTTTAATGGAAGGGCTACTGAAATGACCTAACATTGTACACAAAACATAATGAAATCACACACCCTTTCCTACAAGTGATGAATAATTAAAAGGTTGCATAAAACAAATATCTCAATTAAAAACATGGGGATTCAGTTTTAGCCCTCACCCCTATGTCTTTATGTTTGAAATATTAAATGTACAATTAGGTTTTGCCTCAAACTGCATCACATAATGCAGGGGTCCTCAAACTCCGGCCCCCCAGATGTTGCTGAACTACAACTCCCATGATTCTTTGAATTACATAGATAGGCAGAGAATCATGGGAGTTGTAGTTCAGCAACATCTAGGGGGCCGGAGTTTGAGGACCCCTGACATAATGCATCAAAAAAGGTTAATAGAGCAGATGCCTTTTAATAGACAAGAACACATTTTAAAATGCTTTTTCTTTGAGCAATCTTCTGCTTCTCCCAACTCTGGAAGACATCACATTAGAAATCTAGTACCTCTGAAAGTTTGCTTGGTATTAGTCCTACTTTCTGGCTTTGACACTGAAACTGGATATTGCCAACTGCTCATATTATTATATGAAAGTGCCAACAAATGCAGCAGCGCAGTACAATGGATGGACTAACAGACAAGTATTTGTAACCAGATGAGTTGGGCACACAGGACCAGATGGGCTTAAGGGCCCTCCTCAAATGAGCTTACATTCTAGATTGAGTGCATGTAAAATCCAATCTACATACTACAAAACATGTATATTTAGAATGTGATCTCTACTAATTGAAAGAAACACGTTTTTAACTTTTAAAGCCTGCAATCTTTGTTGATGGAGAAAGAGGAGACATATGTTGTATCTGTTTTCACAACACTAAAAGATGATCAGAGTAATGCAGACACACAAAACATGACTCCCTATGTTCAGAGCATTCCAGGAGTACCGTCCCATGTAACAAGCACATTCTGGACATATCTGTATGCGATAACAGTCAAGTTAAATATAGCCAAGTCATCGAAAGTTATTGAAGATATGAATCATGCTTACTGTAGTACACTAACCACAAACACCACCCATCGCCACCCAAGCTTGGGTAAACAATGCACTTTTTCTGGTTAATTTGCTGGTGCTGCATTCATTTAGCGTGAACTTGAAACTTCGGCACTCAAGATGTTGTGGACTGCCTCTCCCAAAATACTCTTAAAGCTATAATGTCAGCAAACGCATTAAGGGAGTTGTGGTCCATAACATTTGCAATGCCACAGTTTTCCTAACCCTGCTCTAGAAACTTAACATAGGACACAAGGTCATGCGTTTAGACTGGAAGAAAGTAGATTTCGTCTAAGGCAAAGGAAAGGTTTTTTACTGTCTTTTACTGCCTGAAGAAGTGGTTTTATCAGAGTCCATACAGATGTTCAAACACACCAGATGCATACTTGAAAAAACAGAATATTCCAGGATATAATTTTTCTATGTAGGGTAATAGCTTCTTGATCCAAGGATAAATCTGACTGCCATTCTGGGGTCAAGAAGGAATTTTTTTCCTAGCTTGTTGCAAAATTGGACGTGCTTCAAACTTTTTTTTTTTTTTGCCTTCTTTTGGATCAACAGCAAAAAACAAATGTGAGGAAGGCTGAACTTGATGGATGCAAGTCTCTTTTCAGCTATGTAACTATGTAACTCAGTTGAGAAAACTTTTACAACTGGGCTGTTTATCTCTAGAATTTGCAATTCATTGGTCATTTTCCAAAACCAGTTTAATTACTAACCATGTCTGAATATGTGTGTGTTTTATAAATATTTATTTAATAGAAATTTGTTTCACCAAAACATAATCCTGTCAGAGCAGCAGCTGAGAATCTTGCCATACTATGTAGAAACTGGAATAATGGAGATATGTTACAGAATTTAAATATATATTGTTATATTATAAAAGAAGAATAGGTCATTGAGCTACTTCTTCTCAAATTGAGTAATACTTATCATGGAATGTACATAAAACTTGCCTTTTATGTAATATGCTATACAAGCCAAATGTTCTTTTTACCTCTTTATTTGAAAAGAACTGGTTGACAGTCTCCGAAAGCAAGATCCTAGGTCTCCAAGTCTTAACATGCACCGGTTCTTGTCAGGGATTGCTTACCATACATGATTTCAAGATAACTTTTACAAAATGGCCATTGGCCATAAGTATCTCGTAAACATCCAGACACCCAGCAATGAATATAATGGTCTGGAAAAATCAAAACAGTAAAGAATGGAATGCCTGATGCCACACATATCGTAAAGAAATAAGGACAGTAGCTCGAGGAGCCTACCTTAAAAGGGATCCTACCTGCTTCTTTATTAATACATGGCACATTGCAAAATGCTTTTATTTATATTTTCTTATTTTATGTAATTTCTCTTTCCTGCTGGCTGCATGTTTAATGCTATTACCTGAATAATTTGATTCCAATTTACTCTGTTTTATGTTGTATTAAGAAAAAAGATGATATTAAAGTACATTATTTGTGTTATTGTACCAAGACGTCTGCATTGTATAGCAGACAATACAGGGTTCTATCTCCTATTTTTGTTTGTGGATTATCTAGTTCATGGGTCGTCAACGTGGTCCCTACTGCCCACTAGTGGGCGTTTCAGGATTCCAGGTGGGCGGTAGGGATTTCGGTGGCTAAATCCTCTCCTTTTGGACGGGCACAAACGGCTCTGCGGGCGCAAGTTTTCAGTGACCAGCAGGAGGGAAGCGCTCCCTCCTGCCAGGCCACCTTCTAGAGGGAGTGCAGAATTATTAGGCAAATGAGTATTTTGACCACATCATCCTCTTTATGCATGTTGTCTTACTCCAAGCTGTATAGGCTCGAAAGCCTACTACCAATTAAGCATATTAGGTGATGTGCATCTCTGTAATGAGAAGGGGTGTGGTCTAATGACATCAACACCCTATATCAGGTGTGCATAATTATTAGGCAACTTCCTTTCCTTTGGCAAAATGGGTCAAAAGAAGGACTTGACAGGCTCAGAAAAGTCAAAAATAGTGAGATATCTTGCAGAGGGATGCAGCACTCTTAAAATTGCAAAGCTTCTGAAGCGTGATCATCGAACAATCAAGCGTTTCATTCAAAATAGTCAACAGGGTCGCAAGAAGCGTGTGGAAAAACCAAGGCGCAAAATAACTGCCCATGAACTGAGAAAAGTCAAGCGTGCAGCTGCCGCGATGCCACTTGCCACCAGTTTGGCCATATTTCAGAGCTGCAACATCACTGGATTGCCCAAAAGCACAAGGTGTGCAATACTCAGAGACATGGCCAAGGTAAGAAAGGCTGAAAGACGACCACCACTGAACAAGACACACAAGCTGAAACGTCAAGACTGGGCCAAGAAATATCTCAAGACTGATTTTTCTAATGTTTTATGGACTGATGAAATGAGAGTGAGTCTTGATGGGCCAGATGGATGGGCCCGTGGCTGGATTGGTAAAGGGCAGAGAGCTCCAGTCCGACTCAGACGCCAGCAAGGTGGAGGTGGAGTACTGGTTTGGGCTGGTATCATCAAAGATGAGCTTGTGGGGCCTTTTCGGGTTGAGGATGGAGTCAAGCTCAACTCCCAGTCCTACTGCCAGTTCCTGGAAGACACCTTCTTCAAGCAGTGGTACAGGAAGAAGTCTGCATCCTTCAAGAAAACATGATTTT